GAGCCTGCCAAATTTTCCCTGTGGATGTTGGTGTTCCACTGATTGTGGCTCCTTCTACTGGGTTTTGATTAGTGTGGGAGGCCCACATTAAACACCACTGTCAAGTCTTACTTTCCTGGGTATATTTGAAACCAAAGGTTCAGTTTTTCTCTAGCTTTTGCCTGCTAGCTATTAGGCTCAGATACTTGATGAGCCTTGGCTTGTAGCCCTCAGCTGAATAAAAAAAATCCCTCAGGTGTTCAAGGTAAGAGGATTTCCAGCAGGTGGGTTCAATGTTTGCTGGCTGTTAATAAGCCTCAATTTGCATTTCTCTGGTCTGGGCAAGTGGTGTTAAGTTCTTGAGTGAGGGGCTGTTGTTTCTCCCAGCTGCTTTCAGTAGGGGCTCTTTGAGTAAGATAGCTATTGTCCTGTGAGGGAGTGATTCAACACAAATCCCCCATTGCTCTCACAGCTCTCTAAACTCCTGAGTCTCTCCACAGAGTTCCACTCTAGTCTGCCCTCCCTCTACCAGAGCCCAAGGTGAGTGTAGCAAATTTAGTACTCTGTTTCTTATAATTAGTCGGTTTTCTGTTACTGCTACCAAAATTTTGGCTTTGTCTATGACTCTTGACAGTTTTATTATTATGTCTTGGTGTAGATCTTATTACATTTATCCTAGATGGAGTTGTTTGAACTTACTGAATTTATAGGTGTATTTCTCCTCAGATTTGGGGACAATTGTGGTCATTACATCTTTAAATAATTTTCCTGCTCCTTTCTCTCTTTCTTCTGGTACTCTCATAGTGCATATATTGCTGTGCTTGATGGCATTCCATATATCTTCCAGGCTCCCCATTTTAAGTCTTTTTTTCCCTTTGCTCCTCTGACTCAGTCTTTGAGTTTGTTGATTCATTTTTCTGTCTGGTCAAGTTTTCTGTTCCGTGTGAAATTTTCAATTCAGGTAATGTATTCTTCAGTTCCATAATTTCTCTTTGGTTATACTTTTTTTTTTTTTTTTAATCCTCAACTGAGGACATTTTTCCATTTTTTGTTCAGATAGAGTGGGAGGGAGAAAGAGGAAGAGAGAGAGAGAGAGAAACATCGATGTGAAGGGACACATTGAGTGGCTGCCACCCGCATGACCAACCAGGGCTGGGGACAAACTGCAACCGAGGTACGTGCCCTTAGCGGGAACTGAACCCGGGTCTCTCTGTACCACAGGCTGACGCTCCAACCGCTGAGCCAAACCGGCCAGGGCTCTTTGGTTATTCTTCATAGTTTCATTTCTTTGCTAATATTATCATTTTATTTTATCATAATTAAAAATATGTTTTTATTTTCATTTAGGTGTCTAACTGTGCTGTCTTTTAATTACTTAAACATCTTTATGTTGGTAATTTTGAGTTCCTTTTATAACAATTTATATACAGTGCAACCTCAGTCCTTGAACTTAGTTCCAACAACTGTTTGAAAACCAAATCATCTTTTTCCATTAGAAATAATATAAATTGAATTAATCCATTCCAGACCCCCAAATGATTTCTTGTTTTAACTTTTTTTATATACAGCACATGTCTAATGTACTGTTTAATCTATAAATAAACACTTTAAATACAAAAAGGGCATGAAGTTTAAATGAAAATTTAACAAAAAAGGAAATAAAATGCACAGTAAAAAATAAAATTTAATAATAATAGGCAGTAACAAAAGCAAAAAAAAACACGAAAATATTCACAGCACAATTTCCTGAGATGTTAATAACATGAGATTTAGAGGTAAACTGACTCATACTTGTGCATTCTCTCCTTTGTCACCTAAGACTGATCATACAGGTATCAGCAAGACTGATACAGCATGACTGACACAGGTTTCAGCTGACTTATCATTCAGGTATCAGCATGAAAGGGTTGCTGGGTTGAGAAGCTAATTATTTGAGATGGGAGACATTCGATAACTGAGGTTTGGCTGTATCTTTGTTTCTTTATGGGAAATTTCTGGAGATTTAAATTGTTCCTTTAAATGTATTATGATTTTCTTTTCTTTATATGTTTTATTTTTGTTGGAATCTTGGCACTCAAGTAACCAGAATTTGTCATCTGGTTTTGTATAGGAATGACTTTCACTACTCAGCCAAGCAATTTCTGGAGAACTCTCAAGCTTTTTCTGGTTGTATGACCACTGTGGGTTATATGTAGAGGTATTCTAGTTTTCACTTAGGAGCTTCCCCTGGTATCTAAGATGTTGCAGCTTCAACATCTTCCCCTGGTGTTGTAGCAACAATACTGGCTCTCCATCTAGTGTCTATCTATGGTACTGCATATTCTGGTACATGATTTATCATCTTTGTTCTGAGACAACCTGACAACTCACTCCTGTCCCTCCTTGGACACAGATTAGTTCCTCAAGCAGCACCCCTAAAAGTCAGAACATTAGTTATAAGTTCTATTTTCTCTCTTTCTAGGAAAAACGCAGGAGTTGTTTTGTCCCAACTGCACCAACCATTCTTGGTTGGGGAATATTTTAACTGGTTTCTGGGTTTCTCATACAGGCATTTGCTTGGTTTGTTGTTGTTAAATCCATGTCTCCATGGGGAAGAAATGTGAGGGTTTTTGATTCTGCCATTTTGCTAACATCACTCTCACACATAATTTTTGTTTTGTTTTTTCTTTTCTGGTGCCAATAATATGATTTTTGAAATTATCATAACTTAAAAATTTTTTATTTATGTTCTATGATATAAGCCTATATATGATTCTACAACTGTCAGAACTGACTCTCTTTGAAAATCTTTTAATTTTTGTCTCACTCCATTGGACAAATATAATAACTTTCTCCTATGTGCCTTGTTCTTCCTATTAGCAGCTTAGTAAAACTGGTTTAGATAGCTTTCTACTTTTTGTGTTTCATTCTTAAATAATATATATCTTATATAAGAATTCTTAATTATTTCTAATAACTTGTATCATTTTATAGCTTTCCTCAAATTCTTTCAACTTCATTGAAAGTTCCCTGTATAGGAAGGAAACTACACACATCTTGACCGCCATGGAAGGGCTGGATTGGGCCTTTATCTCTTTTTTCCAAACATAGCCTCATTTTTGACTCATAATAGGTTCTGGTTAGAGACAACGTTTTTTATAACATCTCTGTAGCAGGCAACCTTCCAAGTACTAGGGGTGTAGTAGTGAACAAAACAGATAAAAATACCTCTGCCCTGATGAAGGTTATATTCAATTAAGGGCACTATGTTATAAAGAAATAAAATATAATATGAGGGGAAAGTGCTGTAATTTTAAATAGGTCAAGCCTGGCCAGTGTGGCTCAGTGGACTGAGCATCATCCCGTGGACTGAGAGGTCCTGGTTGGATTCCCGGTCAGGGTACACGCCCAGGTTGCAGGCTTGATCCCCAGTAGGGAGCGTGCAGAAGGCAGCTGATCTGTGTTTCTCTCTCACAGCAATGTTTCTATCTCTCTCCCCCTCCTCTCTCTATAAAAACAAACAAACAATCAATTAACAGTTTTGTCAAGGAAAGCCTCACTCTGAAGTTACACTGAGCAAAAACCTCAAAGATGTGAGTGAGTGAGTGATAAAAATATGACTATGGGGACAAGATTTCCCTGCAAAAAGCAAAGCAAGAACAATGAACTTGAGACAAGAGAATTAACCTGGAATGTACAAGATCCAATAAGAAAGCTGATGTAGCTAGAAAGGAATAAGCAAGGACTAGAGTACCAGAATACATGATTAGAAAGATAAAAAGGAGTATTTGTGGGGAAGGGATATTCAGTGGGGGAGGCCAGATCATTTACGGCCGTGGAGGCCATTGGAAAAATTAGGTATTATTCTGACTAAGATGGGAGAAAGGAGAGTGTTAACATGATCTAGTTTTCATTTTGGAAGAATTTTTTTAGCTACTGTGTTGAGAAGAAACTGTAGGAATGAGAACAGAAGCAGGAAGATCTATTAGGAGGTTAATGCAGTAATCCAGGCTAGACAGGATGGTGGGTATCACTGGTAGTGTAGGAGGTAATGAGAAGGCCTTGTCTAAATCAGCATGGCCTGCTGTAACAATATTGTAGACTCTGTGACTTATATAACTTAAATTTATTTCTCACAATTCTGGGGTTTGAGAGTCTAAGATCAGGGTACCAACATGGTTGGGTTCTAGTGAGAGAGAATGTTCTTTCTAGTTTTCAGATGGTTATCTTTTTGCTGGGTCTCGGCATGGTAGGGAGAGAAAGAAACAAACTCTTATAAGGACACTCTTATCGTGACAATTCTACTCTCATGACCTAATTACCTCCCAAAGACCCCCATCTCCAAATATCATCACTTGAGAATTAGGGTTTCAACATATAAATTGAGTTGGGGAATAAAAACAAGTAGTCCATAAAAGATTAGATTTTCATACTAGAAGCAAAAGGAATTTACTTATGAATATGAATATGGGCTGTAAGAAGGATGACTCAATATTTTGTTAAAATGAAACTGAAAATAAAACCAATAAGGTTAAAAATCTTTTTAGAACATTAAATATATTGCTTTGTCTTTTTTCATTTTCATTTAGATTCCTCCAATAGTAGTGATACTTAATAAATGAAAAATTTCCATTTTAAGCTGGCTCCTTGGAAGTACTATGTTTGAGAACATCTAGCATTTACCCTCAAAGTTAGCCTATGCTAATCACTTGAAAATAAATAGTAGTTTATCATCATGGCCATCTCAGACCATTATCTAGTTTCTTATAAATCAGTTAATGACATTAATTTAAAAATATTATCTGTACTGCTCTTATAATCTGATGTTGTAATCATTTAGAAAATGACAATTTATGAATATTGTGATGCTAACTTTAAAAGGACTAAGAAGTGCCAAATGGTACAGAGGAAAGGGAGGTATGTTTTTTTAATAATAAAATAATGTTTTTATGTAAAGAAAAGCTATTTTAATTCTGTGAACATATAAACATGTAGTTCTGTGAATAAGCATTTTTTTTTCTTTTTCTTCTGCTTTTTCTTAGATGTTCTTGGCAGCCCTATCACTCAGCTTTATTTCCAAGTCACTAAGCGGAGCCATTATGAAAAGTTCCATCAGCCAAATAGAAAGGAGATTTGATATAACATCTTCTGTTGTTGGCTTAATTGATGGAAGCTTTGAAATCGGTAATTTTTATTTCTCTTTTGATTATTACTTAGTAAGCAGATTTGCAGAGGTAAAAAGTATTTGTATATGCTCTTCACCACTAGTTCTCGACCAGTGATAATTTGCCCCCAGGTCCAGCTTGGCAGTATCTGAAGACGTTTTGGGTTGTCATAACTGAGGGTCGGTGGGGGTTGCTAATGGCATCTAGCAATAGAAGTCAGGGATGCTGCTAAACATCCTACACGCCCAGGACGGCCCCACCAACGAAGCATTGTCCATCCCAGAATGTCAATAGTTGGAAAACCCTGACCCACACAATCTCATTACTTACGAACAAATACTTTGCAGGGCTTTACCTCCCCTCTCTCAAGATTCCCTAATGCAAAAAAAAAAAAAAATTTTTAAGGTGGGAGAGAGGATTATAATTCTTATGATTTGAGGAGGGAGGAACAGCTTTAGAGCAACCTCTGTTAAGTTTCTACTATTTAACTGGGTATAAAAGTATTTTGTTGTTTTTGTTAATCCTCGCTGGAGGACACTTTTCCATTGATTTTAGATAGAGTGGAAGGGAGAGAAAAATACATCGGCATGAGAGAAACACATCGATTGGTATGTGCCGTTGACTGGGAACAGAACCCGTGACCCTTTGGTCCCTGGGCCGATGCTCTAACCACTGAGCAAACTTGTCAGGGCGGGGTTGAAAATCTTTATTTTAAGACTTGAATATGTTGCTCTGTTGTCTTCATTTTGATTTAGATTTCTCTCACAATAGTGAGGTTTTATATAATTATTGAACATTACTTTCTCTTATTTTATAAGTTGGTAGGTCATTACCTTTGCCCATTTTCCTTTTTTTTTTTTTTCACTATTTAATAACAAAGGGACTCTGTTGTATAGATTACAAATACTTTCTACAATTTTAACTTTAAAATATTTTTAGATATTGAGTATTTAAAAAATAATCATATAAAGACACATCTATCTTTTTGTTATGAATTCTGACTTCTCAGGATTCAGAGGATGTTACTCCCTAAATATCCTTCACTTTTCACCCCCCTGGTTTAATGAAACCATCTAGAATTTTAGCATTTGTCTGTTATTAGTTTTAAATTCTAATGTACTATATATATCTTTTATTGAAAAATTAATTCTTAATATTTTTGTTAAACCTTGTAGCTATTTAACAGCGATTATTTGAACTTGGTTTTATGTTTTACTGGTTCCTTTACTTACCACTGTTTCTTAACTCTTATGACTTCAAATCTCCCATTTAGTTTTTCTGGAGATTATCTTCATGTTGTTTTTTTCCCAGAAATACTTGACCAAATCACATTTTTTAGTCCTTGCTTCTTAGAAAATGTATTTACTTAATTATCATATTCAAGTGATAATCTGTCTGTATATGTAATTAAAAGTTCACGATATTTTTCCTCAGAACATTTTAAAACATTTATCTGCTGTTTTATACATTTAATGTTGTATGATAAATCATTGCTAGTACCCTTGTTATGTCCTGACAGGTACCACCTCTTTATCCCTGAATTACAGAAAGTCCACCAACATATATCCAGGACTATTGCTTTTATATTATTTATGGTGAAATTTTTTTCATCTGAAGGTTCGAGACTTCCTTTTGGCTCTGGGTATTTATTTTATATTTTAAGTGTCTTTATTCCCCTCCATTTTCTTTTGAAACATATATAAGATGAATATTAAATTTACTGGCTTTTTTTTTTAACTTTTTCTTTCTAAATTTCTACCCTTCTATTTTTATGTTCCAACAATTTCTTTGATTCTCTCTCTCATCTTATCATATCAGGTCCCAACATGTACATTTTTTATAATATTTTCAATTTATAATACTTCATTATTCTTTTATTACTTTGAGCCTGCCTGTTCTTCTCTTATAGATACCCATGCACCTCTAGAAATACTAAGTAGGTTTTTTTCAAAGTTTCTCTTCTTTTACTTTCCTTACTTAACTGTTTCTTTACAGGTTACTTTATCTGCCAGTTCATTTTAGTGCTTTTGTTTCTTGCTATTTTTTTTCCATCAGATGTTTAGTAATTCTTGGTTGTTATCTGTTTGTTATTATATGTGTAGCTCCAGATGGATCAAAATTAGCTATGACTCTCTCCACTTGAAATACTCTTCTTTCCCTTTTAATATAAATAATTTATACTTAATACTCAATCTCAAGTGACCCTTCCTCCAGGAAATTTTTCTGAAACCCTTAATTAATTTAAGCTCCCCCTTTCTGTGGTCTAACAGCACTTCTGTATATTTGTATGTTTTCATCACCGGTATGTAAACACCTTGAGGACAGACAGATACCATGGTTCATTCATTTTTTTTTATATTTCTGAATCCTAACACCATGGCAGGCACTTAGCTGGAATTAAAAAATGCTAGAGTGAGTGAATAAGTGCACGAATGAATACATTTTCCTCAGGTCAGAAAGATTTTTCTCCATTAGTGCAATTCAGTTAACTCCAAAGTCTTCAATAAAATGTTGCTTTGCTAATATTGCCAAAGAAGTCAAGAGCTTTCTTTTGTACCTGAAACTTATTCTACTCATTATTTTATTTATTTATTTATTTATTTATTTATTTATTTATTTATTTATTTATTTATTTATTTATTTATTTGGTGGTACCTGCCCCTAGCGGAAAACGAACACTGGACTCTCTGGTCCGCAGGCCAGCATTCAACTGCTGAGCCAAACTGGCCAGGGCTCTACTCATTATTAATACCATAAAACTTTACAGTGAGTAGTTTAATGTGTCTCATCTTCTTGATTAAATTACATGGCCTTAGAGGGATGATAGCATGCTGTGTGCTCTCTTTGTATTCTTACTGGGCCTTCCATTCTACGGGGCACAAAATTGGACTCCATGTTTGCTATAGTGAGTTACACAAAAATAATGTTGTCTTCTTTCTAGGAAATGTGTTTGTGATTGTATTTGTGAGTTACTTTGGATCCAAACTACACAGGCCAAAAATGATTGGAATTGGTTGCTTCATCATGGGCATTGGAAGTATTCTGACTGCTTCGCCACATTTCTTCATGGGATAGTAAGTGTTAAACAGCTCTGTGCCATTAATTACCATTTCCTTGTAAATTAATGGTAGAATTTAGTTTTTTTTCCTTTTAAATAAGCAGTCACCTTTCGAGAAGAAGACCCACTGAGTGTGTGTAGAAGTGGAGTTAACTTTTTTATGTGATAATTAACTTGCTGCCTCAGCCACCCAGGTTTCACTGAATTTGAAATACGAATAGCACTGAATAAAGTGTACAGTTTCCTCAGAAGTAAATAAGATCTCTAGGACTTTTTGGTATAACATATACTTCATGTCTTTGCCAACAAGATTTTATATATTCAGTAAATTTCACCCCTCACCCTTCTGCATACGGGTTTTCCCACTACCATAACCAGGAGAGTGTTCTTCCTGAGGTGACTATGTAGTTAAGCTTAGAGGCAGATACTGATGACAGAAACCCTAAACTAGGCATGGCTTAAATAAGATAGAAGCTTATTTTTCACATAAAAAGTTAATGTGGTTGTCCCAGGGATGGTAAGTTACTGCTGCACTTTATCACATTGCTCTGCATTGCATGTCCTCCACATCCTGGTCCGAATTGTGGTGACCTTGCTCCAGGCAACAGGACAGAGGCAGGGGACGAACGTGAAGAAACAGAGTGCACACAGCCTGGGGCTTTGGGGCTATTTTCAGAAGCATAACACCTCTGGTGACTTCACATTGGTCAGAAATTTATTTCATTTCACATCCAGATATAAAGACATTGGAAACACTAGACTTTATTTCAAGCCACCATCCTACTAGCTAACAATCCCACCTTCTATTACAATGGAAGGAGAGAAGAATGGATATTGAGAGACAATGAGCAATTTCTTCTAAAGACAATAATTACCTACTTATTGCCAAAGTCAATAGTCATGCCTTTGGTTACCATAGTAATTCTTTTTTCCCCCCACAATATTTGACCTTTATAAGCACTTTCTTCTTCTTTTTTTTATTTATTAATTTGTTTTTGTTACAGATGTTTCTCATTTTTCCCCCATTGACACCCCCCCACCCCATCCCTAGCTTTGTTGTCTATGTTCATTGGTCATGCATACATGCATGTAAGATCTGTGGTTTACCTTTTCCTCCCCAAACCCCCTCCTCTGAGGCTTGTCAGTCTGTACCCCACCTCTATGTCTCTGGGTTAATTTTTTTCAGCACTTTGTTTAGTTCATTATATTCCGCAAATAAGTGAGATCATGTGATATTGTCTTTCTCTGCTTGGCTTGTTTCACTTAACATAATACTCTCCAGGTCCTTCCATGCCATCTCAAAGGATAAGAGATCTTTCTTTCTTACAACTGCATAGTATTCCATTGTGTACATGTACCACAGCTTTTTAATCCACTCATCTACTGATGGACACTTGGATTGTTTCCAGATCTTAGCTATTGTAAATAGTGTTGCTATGAACATAGGGGTACATATATTCTTTCTGATTTGTGTTTCAGGTTTCATAGGGTATATTTCTAAAAGTGGGATCACTGGGCCAAATGGCAGTTCAATTTTTAAATTTTTGAGGTAACACCATAGCGTTTTCCATAGTGACTGCACCAGTCTGCATTCCCACCAGCAGTGTACTAGAGTTCCCTTTTCTCCACACCCTCGCCAACACTTGTTGTTTGATGATTTGTTGATGGAGGCCTTTCTGACAGGTGTGAGGTTATACCCTATAGTTGTTTTAATTTACATCTCTCTGATGATTAGTGATGTTGAGCATTTCTTCATATGTCTCTTAGCCATTTGTATGTCCTTTTTGGAGAGATGTCTATTTAGGTCCTCTGCCTTCCTTTTGTTGAGTTGTATGAGCACTCTATATATTTTTTAAATTAACCCCTTATCTGTTGCATCATTGGCGATTATGGTCTCCCAAATAGTGGGATTCTTTTCCATTTTGATGGTTGTTTCTTTTGCTGTGCATAAGCTTTTTAGTTTGATGTAGTCCTATGTGTTCATTTTCTCCTTTGTTTCTGTTGCCTTAGGTGATGTATCAGTGAAAATTCTGCTGCGTATGATGTCTGAGATTTTGTTGCCTACCTTTTCTTCTAGAATTTTTATGGATTCACAAGTTACATTTAAGTCTTTTATCCATTTTGAGTTTTTTCCATAAGCACTTCCTTCTTCCTGCTACTTCTCTTTCTGGTTTTTATAGCATTACTCTCTTGATTTATTAGCTATCTTTGTGGTTTCTTCATCATGCCCATCCTTTTCCTCAGCTGCTGACACCATCATGTCAGTAGCCCTTAAGTTCCCTCTTAGTCTCCTTCACTTTTCATTCTAGATGCTTCATATGAAATTTATGCATAAGTGCAGCTACCTCCAATCCAGCGCCTCCCCTACCACACAAGATCTATATAATCAAACACCTCATGAGTATGTCCAATTTAACATTTTACAAGCATTTCCCATCCATGTATTCAAATATGACTTTATCCCTGTACCAAAATTAGCTCAGATTTTTCACATTCACTTTTTCCAGGATTCATAGTTAGCCACAAAGGAACTCAAGCCAAAGTCAAGGGTTTCATCCTAGATTCTTTCTTTCTTTAAACACAAACGACCAGTGGTGACCGAATCTTTCTTATTCTATCTTTTATCTGTCAAAGTTGTACTATCCTTTCATCCCCATAGTCCCCAACCTACTGAGGCTTCCCTCCTTTCTGACCTGAACTTCCTGCCACCAGTCTAAACTCATATTCTAACTCATATTTTATATTAGAGTATTCATTTTTAAATACAAATTTAATTATTTTATTCCTGTCTAAAACTCCCAATTTTCTAGTTTAAAAAAACTTCAGATTCTAAACCACTAATGGACCAAAAAATTGATTCAAATTAATTATTGAAACCAGCAATAGGATAGGATAATAGAATAAAACAGAATAGAAGAATATACAATGTGAGTAGGAACAAATTTTGTTCGGTGAAACTTTTCTTTCGGTTGTTAGTATGTGTGCCTATGTATATATTGTGGTTGTGATGCAAAATGAATTTCCTACCGTTGGTTACAGTAAAAAAAATATTCAATGCCTCCCCCCAGTGGGTTGATATATAAACTCACTTACATATACAGGTAGCTCATTGATTTGGTCCTTATCTTCCTAACTTCATCTTACACTGTTCCCATGATCAAATATCACATTCTAGGCCTGCAGATTTCCAAATGTGCCCTAACATATCATACCTTTACACATGGTACTTCTTACAATCTTGAATATGTTCTTGTTTTTGTTGTCTAGCTGAGAAGTGGACAAAAGGATTCTGATGATTGGGAGAAGAGAGTGGTACAAATAAAGGGCAAATTTTCTCTGTATTTCTGGTTAAAATAAAAATATTCAGTAACTAAACAAAAATTTAAATCTAGGCCCTGACCAGGTAGCTCAGTTGTTTGGAATATTGTCACAATAAACCAAGGTTTGCAGGTTCAATTCCTGGTCCAGGCACATACTATAGTCAACCAATGAATGCATAGATGGATGCAACAGTGACTCAGTGTTTCCCTGTCTGTCTCTTTCTCTAAAATCAATACAAATTTTAAGTCTATTGATGTTCTTACAGTTACAGGTATTCTAAAGAAAGCTATATTAATCCATCAGTGAATTCAACATCAAGCTTTTCAACCTGTTCAATTAATCAAAATATGTTACTCAATAAAACAGCACCTGAGAGAGGGGGAAAAGGTAAGAATTGAATTAACGCTAGTGAATATTAATGTCACTAATAAATATTCTAAAAATTATCAATTTAATTATATCTGTAAAAATGATTAGCAAAATTGATTTAAAAGAAATAGGAAAAACATTTGCATTTTATAATAGTGTTAATATAATACATATAAGGAGCTTTCAAAAATAATAAAAAGAGTAATATTTTGGTAGCAAATTGGCAAAAATATGTGCATTTAAAATAAAGAAGAAAGTGGCATAAATATATAAAAATGTAGCTTTATTCTTTATGAAAAATGGCAAATTGTTACACCAATTAAATATTTTTACCTAATATAACACAAATCATAATGTATAATTACAAATTATAACACTAATTAAAGATTTTTTTGCCTAGTAGGAAAAGATTAAAAATAAAAATAAATGAAGTAGAGGAAAAGCACACATTTATGTATTACTAGAAGTGTATAAATTTCTAACTCTTTGGAGGTTAATTTTCAATTGAGTAAAGATCAGAAATATGAATATCTGCTTAAATCAATAATTCTTAGTCTTACTTATTTACCTTAATTTTTTTTTTATTGACTTTTAGGGAGAGGGAGAGAGAGAGAAACATCAATGAGAGAGAACATTAATTGGCCGCCTCCTGCATGCCCCTCACTGGGGATTGGGCCCACAACCTGGGCATGTGCCCTTACCGGGAATCGAACCAGTGACCTCTTGGTGCATGGGTCAACGTTCAACCACTGAGCCACACTGGCTGGGTTTATCTTAAGAAAATAGCCCTGGCCCATGTGGTTCAGTTAGTTGGATGTTGCCCTATGCCCCGAAAGGTTGCCAGTTCAATTCGCACTCAGAGCACATGCCTGGATTGCGGGCTCAACATGCAGGAGGCAGCTGATCAACGTTTACCACTCACACCAATGTGGCTCTCTTTCTCTCTCAAAAAAAAAAAAGAAAAAAAAAACATTTAAAAAATATGTAAAAAAAAGAAAAGAATCAGGATACACAAAGATTTATTTATAAGTATAGCTATGGCAATTCTGTTTAACAGAATAAAAGTTAGACATATTTTGTGAGTGAAAAGTAAAAGATTAATTAAATAAATTATGAAACTTTTATTTAGCACACTACTATGTGACATTAAAATATGCTAAATGAAATGAGTCACACAGAGAAAGACAAATAGCATATGATTTCACTTATATGTGGAATCTAAAAAAACTAAACAAAATTTGAACATGTTCATAGATAGATGCAGAGAGCAGATTGATGGTTGCCAATGGGGAGGAGGATTAGGAGGCTGGGTGAAAAAGTTTAAGGACTTGAGTAGTACAAATTGGTAGTTGAAAAACAGTCATAGGAATGTAAGGTCTTAAAGCATCGGGACTATAGTCAATAATATTATAATAGATATGTATGGTGCTAGGTGGGTACTAGAAATATCTGGGGGATCACTTTGTAAAGTATATGATTGTCTATCTACTATGCTGTACAGCTAAAACTCATACAAAATAATATTGAATGTAAACTGTAACTGAAAAAGAATATAAAATAAATCCTGATATACAGTAGATCTTAGTAATGTGGGAAATTGTCATAACATAGTATTAAATATTTAAAAAGTAGATGATAATAAGAACTGGACATTTAGATATATAATGAACATAAGTAATATTATGTATATTTTTATGTGCACTAAAAATGTGGAAGACATACAAACATTAGAATTGGCTCTCTGTGTGTAGTTGGATTCCAGATCATTTTTACTTGTTTTCTTCATGCTTTTCCATATTTTCAAATTTTGTAAAGTGAATATGAATCACTCTTATAATTAGGAAAAAAAGCAAAAGAAAATCTTAAATGGAATAATTAAGGGATTATGTAGTTGAGTTTCTAATAGAAATGCTAAAGTTAATTATTAAAATGCAACACTCTCTTGTCTACATAGGTTGGGAAAAGGAATCTGACTCATATTTATGGATATATGTCCTAATGGGTAATTTGCTTCGGGGAGTTGGGGAAACTCCCATACAACCTTTGGGGATGTCTTATGTGGATGACTTTGCTAATGAAGGAGAGGCTTCTTTTTATATGGGTAATGTACAGAAAAATATTAGAGTTTATTATTAGTTTTCCTGGGTCTACCCTTGAAATAATAGTGTTTCTTAATTCATTCTTTTTCCCTCTTTTTATTGAATTTATTGGAATGATACTAGTTAACAAAATTACAGAGATTTCAGATGCACAATTGTATAATACATCATCTGTATAATGTATTGTGTGTTCATCACCCCAAATCATGTCTCCTTTCATCACCATTTATCTTCCCTCTACTCTTCTTCGCCTCCCCCACCCCACTTCTCCCAGCAGTCACCATCATTCTTTTATTTATTTTTATTTTTTTTGCAAAAATGCATTGCATAATTTTACTTTAGAAAACATTTTGAATAAGAACCATGTATATTTGGCATCTGATAAAGTTGTTTTATACTATTTTCAGGTATTCTGTTGGCAGTAGCAATGATTGGTCCAGTCCTTGGCTTTACACTGGTATCTCTGTTTTCTAAAATGTACGTGGATATTGGATATGTAGATCTAAGTAAGTACAATCAGAACAAAGACTACGGGATATTATTCTTCCAAATAATTGGATTAATTTGTTTCATAGTCCTTTGCTGACAATCAAAAGTTACAAATAGAAAATAAATGTATTTATACCCTAATAAAAATAAAATTTATCTCCTGTCTATGCTAGGCTTTTACCAACTAAGTAGATAATAACAATTGTTTTCAACAACTTGCTTAAGACCATTTCATTCAAAATCATTGCATAATTGCAGATTTCCCAAATGTGCCCTGAAATATTCCTTCCCTGCATTTACTCTTGGGAAACCTTTTCTCCATTTTCTATTTGCATAATTCTTAAAGTCATTTCCCAAATGTGGCTCCTGTTCAGAGAAAATTTACTGAGCCCTCTTCAGAGAAACTAACTTAACTGGCCCAAAGTATGGTGCCCCATTAGTCGCTGAGCATGCCTTTGTCGTAGCCTTATACAATGAGCCATAAATATGTGTGCGCTTTCCTGCTATCTCTTAAAACATATCAGGATGGTCTCTGACTTAACATGATAAGTAATTAGTGTTTGTGAATAAACAAATCTTATCTTCTATCTCACCAGAACTTGAACAGATCTCCAAGGAGATCAAAGGATTTATTTCCAAAACGGAATAGGCATCATAGTAGGTCAACAATAACCACACACTTGAAAGTGTTTAACTATATAAAGCTAAAGCAAGTACCTGGTGAAATGTTTTATATCTTCTATTTTGGAAATGTAAATTAGAATTTAGGCTCATGTTCTATATATTTCTACTCATTCATCTTCATGTTCATTATTGAGTACAGAAATAATTAGAGTCTTTAGGATGATAATTTTGTAACCTCTTTTCCATCATCAGAAATCGCCACTCACAATGTTTTAGAATTTTTGGTGACTCTATTTCAACCACTGAATGCTTAGACCTTTTATATCTTCTTTTATTTAGTCATGAGCATGATGTAAATATATGATAAAGTACACTTTGGCAAACTCCAGTGCCTAGAGGAGCCAAAGAGATAACAAGTGAATAAAGAGTGTCAGTGTAGTAGTTAAACTGGGAAGAATTGGTAGTGGTGAACTGCCCTCCGCACATGCCCCAAAACACATATACTACTTAGCCTCAACCTATTCTTTTAATGCAGAAATCTGGATCCAGCATTGACAAGATCTTCTAACTGGTTTTCAAGAAAATCTAAATTTTTCTGTAGAATTTTTCAATTTTTAAGACAGTGTGTGAGCCAAGGAAAACACTTTGATAGGCCATGTTTAGCTAGATTATGACTTCTATTTCCTATACGGAGTCCAGTGATAGAACAGGAAAAATGTTATTAAAATGACATTTCTGACAGATGCATAAATACTTAGCATGTACATGGAGTCACTGCTTTTACCAATTGTTTTCTGAAATCTGTCCGAGTTGCTGAATATGAAACAATATGATCATGTAACTCCATTTTAAACCCAGATCTGTGCATACTTGAAAGACACATCAATAAATAGAAGGAATAATTTCTTTCTATATAGTTTTAAATCAAGTCAATATTTTCTCATGTTACTAAGTTTTCTGATAGAGCCATGTGTTATGGTATCATTAGTATGCTTCAAACTTCTATGGTATGTGTGTGTGTGTGTGTGTGTGTGTGTGTGTTATGCTCTATTACTTAAAATGTTTACTTTATGGTTACTGAAATAGTTAATTTATGCTTGTTTAGCTAGTGTTTACATATTACTCATGAATGCCTTAAAGAAAAATATAATAAAATAAAATGCTTAAATTATTCCTAAAACTTAGAGTCTAACTCTCCTGGTCACTTTTATTTATTTATTTATTTATTTATTTATTTTCATCCTCACCCAAGGACATTTTTCCATTTTTTGTTCAGGTAGAGTGGGAGGGAGAGAGAGGAACAGAGAGAGAGAGAGAGAGAAACATTGACGTGAAAGGGACACATCGAGTGGCTGCCACCCGCACGACCAACCAGGGCTGGGGACAAACTGCAACCGAGGTACGTGCCCTTAGCGGGAGGCAAACCCGGGTCTCTCTGGACCATAGGCTGACGCTCTAACCGCTGAGCCAAACCACTGAGAAAAACCACCAAGTTCACACTGGCGCATGACTGATTCCTGAACAATAGCAAGTATATGCTGTCATTAAATGTGGGGCTTATCCTGATTTAAGAGATGACAAAGAGTGAAAAAAGAAAATAGAGTCTCAGGACTGCTAAAATATAGTTTGTTTGTTTTTCTATGGAGGAGAGCAATCATTACCACTATTGCCAAGAATTTACTGCATTTCAAAATAATTTTTTACTGTCTTCTAATTCTTTATTATAGAAAGTATCAGAATAACTCCTATGGACTCTCGTTGGGTTGGTGCTTGGTGGCTTAGTTTCCTTTCTGCTGGACTATTGTCCATTATATCTTCCATACCATTTTTTTTCCTGCCCAAAAATCTGGATAAACCACAGAAAGAAAGGAAAGTTTCAGTATCTTTGAATGTGCTCAAAACAAATGAAGAAAAAAATCAAATGGCTATTCCAATAGACCATGGGCAAAAGGTGACTGTAGATATAACTGGTAAGTATTTTATATTTAATTCATTTGGGTTTGTTAATCCCAGTTAAAGTGAGGAATGAGTATGTCAAAATAATAGGTCATACTCAAGTAATCTAGAGTTTGCTTTGTTCTGCACTAAATTTAGCTGAATTATTTTTCTAAGATCCCTACTAAGTTTAGTAAATGTTTTCTGAACACATATCAACTCTCTGAAAAGAAGAGGATTATGTTTGTGATGTTTAGCAGGAAGAAATCATCCAAAGACAATAATATCTGTTACTTCAAAACCAGGGAGTATATATTCATTTCAAAATAATGTGCTGTATGAGGGTTAAAAGGACTGTTATGTTTCACTAATTCATTCACTCATTCACAAATATACCCAGTCACAGTACTATGCCCTGGTGATAGAATATGGCCTTTGTTTTTTTTTTAATCCTCACCCGAGGACATTTTTCCATTTTTTGTTCAGGTAGAGTGGGAGGGAGAGAGAGGAACAGAGAGAGAGAGAGAGAAATATCGATGTGAAGGGACACATTGAGTGGCTGCCACCCGCACAACCGACCAGGGCCGGGGACAAACTGCAGCCGAGGTACGCGCCAACCAAACCCGGGTCTCTCAGGACCGCAGGCCGACGCTCGAACCGCTGAGCCAAACCGGCCAGGGCTTGGCCTTTGTTTTTTAACCATTTACAATCTAACGGGTTTTATGGAAAAACATATAGACAATTTCAATACAGTCATTAAGTACTATGGTAAAGGTAAATATAAGAAATTATGAGCCTGGCCAGCGTGGCTCTGTGAATTGAGCATCGTCCCATGGACGGAGAGGTCCTGGTTCAATTCCTAGTCAGGACACATGCCCAGGATGTGGGTTTGAACCCCAGGGGCATACAGGAGGCAGCTGATTTATGCTTCTGTCTCACATAGATGTTTCCATCTCTCCCTCTGATCCTCACTCTCTAAGAAAGGAAAAAAAAATTATGAGTGCCATAAATTGGGCAACTTAACTATTCTTAAGTGGATGGATGGAATAAGGAGAAGAGAGGCAGAGGTTTCTCTCTAGATAATTAGAATAAGATTTTTTTTCTTGATAATCCTATAGAAAAAGTTTGCTTACCTAAATATTCAAAAATAAAGCAGAAGCAACAGTAGTAGTTAAGATTATCAAAGTTAGTCATTTGTACATTGATCTTCCACCATTTGATAGTGTCTTCCCTTTCGAACATAAGCCCTGAGGACTAATGGAGAATAGTGTAGGAGCAATAATCTGGAGAGTGATCCAGCAGCACTCAGAGCAAAGTGGTTGAAACAAAGAGGTGTTGATGCAGTGTCACATTGCACGGAGTTGGTGGAATATGAAAGCGAAGGCAGGGCAGTGGCTAAACCCTTGGCAAACTTTTGAAGTTGAAGTTGAAGTGAATGAAACATTCTCAGGCGGAGCCCAAGTTCTCCCTCTCACCAGTTCTTATGATCGCTCACTTTGTTGTTACTTTATCCTCCCCATCACTCTAATCCAAAAGCAATGGCATGACGGAGCCTGTGAGAGAAAACTGTCAACTTTTCAGCTACATTGGAAGCTTGAAATTGGCCACTGCGGGGGAATTGACCATTCATTACCATGGGAATTGGAAATACTACAATCAGGCCTTATTTCCCCAAGAGTCTATTGATAAACATTTATCAGCACACCACTGAGTTAGAAGTTTCTAAAATTTAACATACACACTAAAAATAGCATACCAAGAAAATTTCACTTTGTCTAGTAATGCCGCGACCCTTTAATACAGTTCCTCATGTTGTGGTGACCCCCAATCATAAAATTATTTTTGTTACTACTTCATAATTGTAATTTTGCTACTGTTATGTCTTAGGTGAACCCTGTGAAAGGGTCATTTGGCCCCCCAAGGGGTCGCAACCCACAGGTTGCGAACCACTGGAGACTGTTTTCACTGTACCAAGTCAAATCCATGGAAAGTAGTGGATTGTCTAAAACCATAAGGAATATAGTCAACTGTAAGCCCAAACAGAATGGAGAGGACAGTGAATATGCAAAAATAGGACATTTGTAAACATCATCTATATTATCAACTGTGTTTATAGGATAGTTATTAGAACACTAAAGAGGTCCTTAATTATGTGCTGTCAGCAATAGATGAAATAAGTATACTTAGTCAGAAAAAACAATATTGGCTTTGTTAGTTATGTTTTTGAGTAGAAATAAGACTAACTGGTTAGAAATAAAGAAATATTTTAGTTCATTACAAAAACAATTTGTAAAAGAAATTATAAACAATAAGAATAGGCAAAAAATGGAGCAAATTTCTTTCTGAGGTCATTAGCTTAATGTCACTTGACTGGTTTATTGATCTAACTATTGACGATGTATAATGGGTCATGATTGTGTGGAAGTTCAGACTAGACAACATCCAAGTTTCCTCCCACCTCAAAATTTCAATGATTTGGTGAACCCATCTGCTCGGTTTCTTTTGACCCAATGTAATAACTCATTTAGAATGCCTCTCAAGTCAGTGATCCTCCTGATTTTGGAGTCCCATGGAGACAATTTCAACATTTTGGTCTAACAGTTTTAAATATTATTTATTCCTGCTATAAATTTCCTTATGTTTTCTTTTCCTCTTCTACACCCTTAGCCCTAACTCTTCTGTCTTCTTATAATAAGCAGATGAAACCATTTTTGTTGCCATTGGACAGAAGGCTTGATTCTGACCATATCTAGTGAAAACTTTTAATGATCTACAGAACAAGACCTTCCCAAGCCTATGTCATTTATTTCTCAGTAGCTGTGTCTAGTTCTGTCTTTGTAGACTGATACCTCTTCCTGTTTTTTTAATTAGCTCCTTCCAGTTTTAACTCTCAATACAGCTGGTTGACCTGTTAATCACAGACTCAAATCACATTATTCTTGCCATGGAAAGAAGTTATGAATTTGTTCCACATCTATTTGTAGGCACAGGTGGTTGTACTATTATTGTCATAAATGTCACCTGAGACATTTATTCTCTGCCTCTCCTTGCACCTTCAGAAAGGTAATATATAATGCTGCCAGTTTTACTGAGGTAGTATTTTATTGTAGAAAAGTTTTATACCAAAAAACAAGAGATCTGTGTTCTGGTAGTAAATTGATCTTTATGATTTTTGAAACTTAGTCTCCTTATTTCTTTCCCTGAGCTTTGGATTATACAAACTTTAAAATAAATTTCTACTTAATAATTATATTAAGTGCTAATAAATAAGAGACATTGCATGTCTCATTCACTTTTTACTCTTGAGCACCTAGCATATTGCCTGGTACCCAGTTGAAAACCAATATTTGTTTATTGAATTAATAAATTAATTAATTTATCCACAGTTAATGTACTCATGTATGTAGTTGTGTGGTAGAGCAGTATAATTAACCAAATGCCAAGTGAACAAAGCAAGTTGCAAACAGCATGTATATGTGATCCAATCTAAGTAAAATTAACCAAATAAATATTAATATATATATGGAAAAAATGAATATATAATAAACTGTTAATTCGATTGCAGGTATTCTGACTTTTTGTGTTATGTATTTAGATACTATTAAATGTCATATAACATATTCATAAGATTAAGTTATTAATATATATTTAAGCTACATTATTATATTTTCTTTACATTTATGTTTTTATAGGTTTTCTCCAGTCCTTAAAAAGCATCCTTACCAATTCTTTATATGTTTTATTTTTGTTTTTGACATTGCTACAAACCAGTGCCCTTACTGGTATTATTACTTATGTCTTCAAATACACAGAACAACAATATGATCAACCACCATCTAAGATTAGCATTGTGCTTGGTAAGATTCATTGTTCATGTTTGTTGAATAAGCAATATACTACTAAGTAATTGAGTTCTACGTGACATTTTGTTGTGATGGTAATTTTATATTGTAGTAAATATAAGTTCAATTTATTCTTTTGCAAATCTTATCAAATTTATTTATTTTGAGATGTCATTATTGTTCTTTATTTGAAGTGGCATCTCATATTATTTTTGAATAAATAAAATCCTAAAGAAAAAAAATTGCATGTAAATGAAACATTTAGATATGGTATCTGCATAATTGGATCTTATAATTTAGTGCTGAGATCCAGAGACAAATGCTTTTGTAATGTTATATTTCCATAATTCATGGACTTTGAATTAGGACCTGGCTACTTACAAAAAGTAGAACGTTGATGTTTCCCAAAGAAAACCAGTTTAAACAAATTATTGATGTCTACATTATTCAAAACAAATATCATGTAGCAGAGAGGGGTTTTGTTTGTTTGTTTTTGTTTTGCTATAATATCTATTTTCCATGGCATAGTGAAACTTGCTTATAAAGGAATGGTTTTCTTACACCTGGTACAGTGCCCAGCACATTGTAGAAACTAAATAAATATTTGATAAATTAAAATATTTAATAAAATAAAATTAATTTATCAAGTGGTATGTTTGTAGGTCATAAATAAACAAGAAAATAATAACATATGATGCTCAGATTGAACTTAAAAGTTTGAACTGTAAAAGTTAAGTTTGACTTCCAGTAATGTTCCCAGCCTGAATTTTTTTTTTACAGTGTTCATCATACTTAATGATTCTTGCAGGACAATGACATGAAAAATTTATAAGAGGGAGCAATCATTTTGTATACAGTATATAGGCCTATTTATCATTTCAAGGTATATGTGTGTTTGAATGAATAAAGAAGAGATAATAATTCAAGTATTCATTTCTAAAGTACTGGGCAAATTTGGAGTGAGTTTTTAATAACTGGAACTCTTCATTTTGAGGACATGTAAAGGATTTTAGACGGTAGAATGAAAGCCTCATAGGCAGAAAGACAATATTTTGTTGTTTTCCAGGAGGGAAAGCAAATGATAGAAACCATCTCTTCAGACGTACAAATATTCTCAGTCCCTGACTTTAGCTATTGGGAAAACAAAACCTTCAACATTGAAAGAAGAAATGATTTTTGTTTCTCCCCTGTAGTACTCTGGTACCCACCTCCATCCAGGCCTGCCAGCCTGAAGAAGTAATAGGATTATAATGAACTTGATTCTTATACACTGTTTCATATGTAAAGATATTTCAGAATAACTATGTATATAATTACAATTTTTCCTTTTATTTCTAGGATTCGCAACCATGCCAACAATTGCATTTGGAATGTTTGTGGGAGGATATATCACAAGAAAATTCAAATTTACCTTGCTTGGAATGGCCAAACTTTTACTTTCTATCAGTATATTGTCCTTCACACTTCACCTATTAAATTTTGCACTAATCTGTGAAAACAAATCAGTTGCTGGCCTAACCTTGACCTATGATGGGTTTGTATATATCAATATATCCGTTGCAAAATGTATAGACTATCCAGTGTAAAAGACTACAAAGAAACCAGGTAGATGACAATTTTAACTAAACTTTATTTAGAGAGAAATTTCAGCTTATAAATTCTTAAAATATACATATTTTAAGATTTCAAAAGCTCTCCCTTTTATTCCTTCCTTTTAAAAAATCTACATAGTTTGTAATAATAGTTATCACTTATTGGGTGCTTACAATGAGTGATGGGTACTTTTATCCCCATTTTATAGATAGGGAAAAAAGTTTTAGAGGGATACACAAATTACATGGCTAGCAGTGTTAAGATTCTGACTCAGCCCTGGCTGGTTTGGCTCAGCGGTTGGAGCGTTGGCCTGCGGTACAGAGAGACCCAGGTTCGGTTCCCGCTAAGGGCATGTACCTCGGTTGCAGTTTGTCCCCGGCCCTGGTTGGTCGTGCAGGTGGCAGCCACTCGATGTGTCCCTTCACATCGATGTTTCTCTCTCTCTCTCTTCCTCTCTCTCCCTCCCGCTCTATCTGAACAAAAAATCGAAAAATGTCCTCCAATGAGGATAAAAAAAAAAGATTCTGACTCAAATTTAGGTGGTGTTTAACGTGGGCCCACCCAGGCTCATCCAAATACAGTAGACAGAGCCATGAACAGCAGAACACCAACACTCACAGGGAAAGTTTGGCAGGCTCTAAAACCCACTGCGATAGCCAAAATGGTGAAACAAACAAACAAATCCCAAATGAAAGAACAAGAGAACTCTATCGAAGATGAGATCAATGAAATACAGCTAAGCAAATTATCAGAGGTAGAATTCAGAGCCATGAACTTGAGGAAGCTCAACAGCATGAGTAAGGACATCAGCCCCATGAGTAAAGATACACAAATATTGAAAACCTACCAAGTGGAAAAGAAGAATGACATAGCAGAAATTAAGAATACATTGGAGGACTAACAAGCAGAGTAGAGGAAGCTGAAGACAGGATCAGTGAATTAGAAGTAAGGGTAGAAAAAAATCAACCAATCAGAAAACCAAAAGGAAAAAACAATTAAAAAACAGGAAAACAGCTTAAGAGAACTGTGGGACAAATGGAAATGTAATAACATTCGCATCATAGGAGTCCCCAAAAAGGAAGAAAATGGGCAAGAGTTAGAGAGTATATTTGAGAAATAGTGACAGAAAACTTTCCTGACTTGGTGAAGGAAGAGGGCATTCAAGTTTAAGAAGCACAGAGAGCCCCAAGTAAGAAAAACCCAAACAGGCCCACACCAAGACACATAGTAATTAAAATGCCAAAAATTAAAGCAAAAAGAGAATCCTAAAGGCAGCAAGAGATAAGCAACAGGTTACCTACAAAGGAAACCCCATAAGGCTCTCAGCTGACTTCTCAACAGAAACACTACAGGCCAGAAGGGAGTGGCATGAAGTAATCAAGGTCATGCAAAACAAGGATCTGAATTCAAGACTACTCTATCCAGTAAGCCTATCATTCAAAATAGAAGGTCAAATAAAGAGCTTGCCAGACAAAAAAAAAAAGGCTAAGGGAATATATTAACACCAAACCAGCACTGCAAGATATGCTAAAAGGACTGCTGTAATTAGTAGAAGAAATAGGAAGAAAAATAGAACCACAATAAACAAAAATGGCAATATATAAGTACATATCAATTATCACCATAAATGTGAATGGTTTGAATGCTTCAATTAAAAAGACACAAAATAGCTGACTGAATAAGAAAGCATGACTCACATATATGTTGTTTACAAGAGATCCACCTCACAATAAAAGATTCACATAGATTGAAAGTGAATGTATGGAAAAAATTCTTTCAAGCAAATGAAAAGGAAAAAAAGCTGGGGTAGCAATACTCATATCTGATAAAGTAGATTTCAAAATGAAGGCCATAACTAGAGACAAAAAAGGCCACTACATAATATTGAAAGGATCTATTCAGCAGGAAGATATAACCTTGGTAAACATATATGCACCCAATATAGGAGCACCAACATATATTAAAAATCTTTTGGAGGACTTCAAAGAAGAAACCAACAGCAATACAATCATAGCAGAGGACTTCAATACCTCGCTGACATCACTGGATAGATCTTCTAGACAAAAAATTAACAAGGAAAAACAGACTCTAAATGAAGCACTAGATCAAATGGATTTAATAGATATCTATAGAGAATTACATCCCAAAACTGCAGAATTTACATTCTTCTCAAGTGCACATGGAACATTCTCAAAGATAGACCACATGTTAGAATACAAACTACATCTCTATAAGTTCAAGAAGATTGAAATCATATCAAGCACCTTCTCAGATTACAATGACATGCAACTAGAAATCAATTGCAACAAGAACATGCAAAGACATTTGAAAACATGGAAGCTAAATAGCATGTTATTGAACAATGAATGGATTACCATGGAGATCAAGGAAGAAATTAAAAACTTTCTGGAAACCAATGAAAATGAACACACAACAACACAAAATCTATGGGATGCAGCGAAAGCAGTTCTGAGAGGGAAGTTCATAGCACTACATGTCTACCTCAAGAAGCAAGAAAAATTTCTAATAGACTATCTAACCTCACAACTTAAAGAACTAGAAAGCAAACAAAAAGAAAACCCCAGAGCAAGTAGAAGGAAGGAAATAGTAAAGATCAGAGCAGAAATATATGACATGCAGACCAAAAAAACAATTCAAAGGATCAATGACACAAAGAGCTGGTTCTTTGAAAAGATAAACAAGACTGATGGACTCTTAGCTAGACTCACCAAGAAACAAAGAGAGAGAACCCAAATACACAAAATCAGAAATGAAAGAGGAGAAATAATAACTGACACCACAGAAATACAAAAGATTGTTAACAAATATTATGAACAATTATACTGCAACAAATTCAGCAATCTAAGTGAAATGGACAAATTTCTAGAAACACATAGTCTCCCAAAACAAAACCAGGAAGAGATAGAAAAACTTGAACAGACCAATAATAACAGAAAAAAATGAAGATATAATCAAGACTCTCCTAGCAAACAAGAGCCCAGGCCCAGACGGCTTCACGGGGGAGTTTTACCAAACATACAAAGAAGAACTAATACCCATTCTCCTCAAACTATTTTTAAAAATTCAAGAAGAAGGAAGACATCCAAACTTGTTTTACAAAGCCAGCATAATCCTAATTCCAAAACCAGAAAAAGACACTACAAAGAAAGAAAACTACAGCCAATATCCATGATAAACATAGACGCCAAAATCCTGAACAAAATACTAGCAAATCAAATCCAGCAATACATCAAAAAAATTATTCACCATGACCAAGTGGGATTTATTCCAGGGATGCAAGGCTGATATAATATTTGCAAGTCAATAAATGTGATACACCGCAGAAACAAAATGACAGATAAAAATCATATGATCATATCAATAAATGCTGAAAAAGCATTTGACAAAATCCAGCACCCATTTCTGATAAAAAATGCTCAGCAATGTGGGAATAGAGGGATCATATCTTGACATAATAAAAGCCATATATGAAAGACCTACAGCCAACATCGTACTCAATGGGCAAAAACTAAAAGCATTTTCATTAAGAACAGAAACAAGACAAGGATGCCCACTTTTGCCACTCTTATTTAACATAGTACTGGAGGTCTTAGCCACAGCAATCAGACAGGAAGAAAAATAAAAGAGACCTAAATTGGACAGGAGGAAGTGAAACTGTCATTATGCACAGATGACACGATACTATACATAAAAAACCCCAAAGACTCCATCAACAATTTACTAGACTTAATACATAAATTTGGCTAAGTAGCAGGATACAAAATTAAAGTCAAGAAATCGATGACATTCTTATACACCAATGAGGAACTCACAGAAAGAGAAACTAAAAGAACAATCCCACTTACCATCGCAGCAAAAAAATTAAGATACCTAGGAATAAACTTAAGCAAAGAAATAAAGGATCTATTCACAGAAAACTACAGGTCATTGAAAAAAGAAATAGAGGAAGATATTAAAAAGTGGAAGCACATACCTTGTTAATGCATTGGTAAAATTAACATCATTAAAATGTCCATTATACCCAAAGCAATCTATAGATTCAATGCAATCCCCATCAAAATACCAACAACATACTTCACAGAACTAGAACAAATACTTCAAAAGTTCATATGGAACCAAAAAAGACCCCAAATAGCCACACTAATCTCGAAAAAGAAGAACAAAGTTGGAGGGATCACATTACCAGATTTCAGGTTATACTACAAAGCCACTGTAATCAAAACAGCGTGGTACTGGCACAAGAACAGGCAGATAGATCAATGGAACAGAATTGAGAACCCAGAAATGGACCCAAGACAATGTACTCAATTAATATTTGACAAACGTGGCAAGAGCATAAAGTGGAGAAAAGACAGCCTTTTTAATAAATGGTGTTGGGAAAACTGGACAGCTACATGCAAAAAAATGAAACTAGACCATCAACTTACACCACACACAAGAATAAACTCAAAGCAAATTAAAGACTTAAATGTGATTCATGAATCCATAAAAATCCTAGAAAATGTAGGCAACAAAATTTCAGACATCATACGCAGCAGAATTTTCACTGATACATCACCTAAGGCAACAGAAACAAAGGAGAAAGTGAACATATGGGACTACATCAAACTCAAAGCTTCTGCACAGCAAAAGATACAATCATCAAAATGGAAAGGCAACCCACTGTATGGGAGAGCTTAATTGCCAATGATATATTAGATAAGGGGTTAAATTCCAATATATAGAGAGTGCTCATACAACTCAACAAAAGAAAGACAAAGAACCCAATTAAAAAATGGGCAGAGGAACTAAATAGACACCTCTCCAAACAGGACATACAAATGGCTAAGAGACATATGAAGAAATGCTCAACATCACTAATCATCAGAGGGATGCAAATTAAAACAACAATGAGGTATCACCTCACACCTGTCAGAATGGCCACCATCAACAAATCATCAAACAACAAGTGTTGGCGAGGGTGTGGAGAAAAGGGGACTCTAGTACACTGCTGGTGGGAATGCAGACTGGTGCAGCCACTATGGAAAACAAGATGGTGTTACCTCAAAAATTTAAAAATTGAACTGCTATTTGACCCAGTAATCCCACTTCTAGGAATATACCCTAAGAAGCCTGAAACACCAATCAGAAAGAATATATGTTCATAGCAGCACTGTTTACAATAGCTAAGATCTGGAAACAGCCCAAATGTCCATCAGTAGATGAATGGATAACAAAGCTGTGGTACATGTACACAATGGAGCTGTAAAAAAGAAAGATCTCTTATCCTTTGAGACGACATGGAGGGACCTGGAAAGTATTTTCCTAAGTGAAACAAGCCAAACTGAGAAAGACAAGTATCATATGATCTCACTTATTTGTTGAATATACTGAACATAACAGTCTGAGGAATGGGATAGTCCCAGAGACGTGGAAGTGGGGTACAGACTGACAATCCCTAGAAGAGGGGGTGTTGGGGGAGAGCTAAACCACAGAACTTATATGCATGTATGCATGAACAATGGACATGGACAACAAAGCTGGTGACAGGGTGGGGAGGGAGGAGGAGGGGGGAATCAGTGGGGGGAAAAGGAGAAACATCTATAACAAAAATTAATTAATTAATTAAAAAATTTAAAATAAAATAATTTTAAGGACATACAGCTCAACCCTCTTATATTCTCAGTTTTTATTAGTTGAGATTCAGAGAACCTATGACTCGTCCGCAGTCCTCCAGTGCCTGCAGGCTGACACCACATCACATATTATTAGTTCAAGGGTTCCCTGTTTGTCAAGGCAGGCTTTAGCCTTTAACTAGTTCCCCGAAAACAAATATAGAAACTATGCCATTTATTCAAAAGAAGGCAGTTACAGTACTCTGAGATTTTTTTCGATCAGTAAATTTTATTGAGTGCCTCCTTAACGGTTGAGTAGATTTATACAATACATCAGGCCCTTGTGGAATTCATAGTCTAATGACAGTAAACAACAAAATAAATGTATTTAGCATTTATGAAATGCTAGTCCCTGGGGTACGTTTTTAAAGTATGAATTAGTGCAAAAGTTCTCAGAATGTGGTCTGAGGGTCTACAGGGGCCCCTGAAAGCTTATCAGAGTGTCAACAATTTTGAAGTATTTTAAAAATAATACCAAGACAGTATTTGCCTTTTTCATTCTCATTTCCTCATGAATGTATAGTGACAATTTCTAAACCTAAAGACATTCAATGATAACACCAGTCAGATGGCTAATGATATGTGTGCTTTTGTATGCTCGTGTATTAAAGTCTTCTTAGCATTAATTTCTAATAGAGTATATATCAATAGATATAACCCACTTGAACAAAACACGCTGAGGGCCCCACAACTTTTGAGTGTGAAGGGCTACTAAGAACAAAATGTTTAAAAACTACCAAATTGCCCTGGCTGTTTTGGCTCAGCTCTTAGAGCATCAGCCCACAAACCAAAGAGTTGCAGGTTTGATTTCGGTCAAGGGCACATACCTCGGTTGCTGTTAGTCCCCGGCCCTGGTCAGGGTTGTGCTCAAGGCAGCCAATCAATGCGTCTCTCTCACATTGGTGTTGCTCTCTGTCTCACTTTCTCTCTACCCCTCCCTCCCACTCAATCTGAAAAATAAATGAAAAAATATCTTCAGGTGAGGATTTAAAAAAAAAAAAAAACCCTGCAAAATGAATTTTTCCAAAAAAGTTTCCTTGAGGTTGATGCTATTACATATATATGACTTACAAATGGGAAACATGATTTTGAAAAGAATAGTCACATTGCTATGGCAGAACTAGTATGGACACAGGGGTTTCTGATTGCAATGTCTGGACTAGGTCATTAGTCATTAAGCTTAACTACTCCCAGTCATATGTCCTCAAGCAGAATTAGGTACTAGATGCTTTTGAGTAAAATTACTGATAATAGAATTTCGGAATCTACTTTTTTACTTTTTTATGTAAATTAATTTATCAATCCTCAATTATTATCAAGATTTTTACCAAAAATAAAAGCAAATAATTTTAAAAATCTATAAGCAGAAAATTAATTATACAAAGTTTTATTTTGTAATTTTAGCAATGTTTTAAGATTATATTTTATAAATATAACTATGTTTCACTGTAAATCATTATACAGTATGTTGTAGTTTACCTTAAAAATTCTATGGTGTTTTTCTAGTCTTTTTCAATTGATTATATATTTTTTTATTTAAAAAAAATTGATCCTTAGGAATTCTGCTTTAACCATGTTAAATTATTTTGCCATGTAGTGAAAATAGAGATTTTAAAATTAAAATTAGTTAAATGACATTCACAGATTTGGGGGGACCTTACAGTAAGTTGGCAGGAAACTTAATCTAATGCCATGACCTTGCTGAAGAGAAACTGAGTACCAGGAAAATGAAGTGACTTATTTAGTGAGTAATTGCTGATAGAATCACAAAGACCTCTTGTCTAAGTCTTACCTAACCTCTTTGGTTTCTTTTTATTGTTCTACCTTATCAAGATCATAAATCATGTCTGGGTAAAGACGGAGGGTGAACAAGTTAATAAGCCCTATAAAACTACCATTTTGGCAGCACTGCTCATCAAATTTATCTATCGAATTAAAGGGCAACCCTTTCCCTCTTTTCTCCATTCCTTACCTCACCTCTCTCCTCTCATCTCTTTTCCCCTCCCCTCTCCTTCCCTTTTCACTTCCTCTCTCCCTCCCCTCCTGCTCCTCCTCTTCATTTTGTTCTTGTTGTTGTTCTCCTCCTCCCCTCCCCCTCTTCTTCTCCTCTCTGTTTTTGATATATGTTCATCATATATTTCCAGAAATAATCCAGTGGCATCTCACATAAATGTACCACTTTCTTATTGCAACTCAGACTGCAATTGTGATGAAACTCAATGGGAACCAGTCTGTGGGGACAATGGAATAACTTACATATCACCTTGTCTGGCAGGATGTAAATCTTCAAGCATCAATAAAAAGTCTATAGTGAGTATTAGTTTGTTCCTTCTTTTCTCCTCTTAATCAAAATCACAGATTTAACAGTTACTTATCAAATTTCTCTTCTTTTTTAACTTTACTTTTATTGTTGACACTATTAAATATGTCTCCATTTCCCCAACTTTGAACACCTCCACCCAGACCCCACCCACCCTTTCCTATGGCCATCACCACACTATTGTCTGTGCCTGTAGATTATGCATATATTTTCTTTGGCTAATCCCTTCACTTTCTTTCATCAAGTCCCCTCTCCCCACTGACAGCTGTCGATCTGGTCTATGTATCCATGCCTCTGTTTCTATTTTGTTAGCTTATTTTGCTCATTAGATTCTACATATAACTGAGATCATATGGTATTTGTCTTTGACTGGCTTATTTCATTTAGCATAATAATATCCAGGTCCACTCATGCTGTCACAAAAGATAAGAGTTCTGTCTTTTTTATGGCTGTGTAGTATTCCATTGTGAAAATGGACCACAGCTTTTTTTATCCACTCATCTACTGATGGGCACGTGGGCTGTTTCTAGATTTTAGCTATTGTAAATAATGCTGTTATGAACAAAGTGGTACATATATTCTTTAAAACTGGTGTTTTAGAAATCTTAGAATATATTCCCAAAAGTTAGATTGCTGGGTCAAAAGGCAGTTCCATTTTTAATTGTTTGAGAAAATTCCATACTGTTTTCTACAGTGGCTGCACCAGTCTGCATTCCCACTAACAGTGCACTAGGGTTCCCTTTTCTCCACGTCCTCACTAGCACTTGTTGTTTATTGAGTTATTGATGGTAACCATTATGGCAGGTGTGAGCTAATATCTGATTGTGGTTTTAATTTGCGTATCTCTGATGATTAGTGACACTGAGCATTTTTTTTTTATATGTCTATTTGCCATCTGTATGTCTTATTTGGAGAAGTGTGTATTCAGGTCATTTGCCCATTTTTTAATTGGATTGTTTGTCTTCCTAATGTTGAATTGTATTAGTTCTTCATATATTATAGAAATTAACCCCTTATCACATGTGTCACTGGCAAGCATGTTCTCCCATACAGTGGATTCCCTTTTTATTTTGTTGATGGTTTCTTTGGCTGTGCAAAAGGTTTTAAATTTGATGTACTTCCATTTCTTTATGTTTTCCTTTGTTTCCCTTGCCCTAGGAGATATATTTATAAAAATATTGCTATGAGAGATATCTGAGATTTTGCTGCCAATGTTTTCTTCTAGGATTTTTATTATTTTGTGACTTACCTTTATGTCTTTTATCAATTTTGAGTTTATTCTCGTGTGTGGTATAAGTTGGTGGTCAATTTTTGCATGTACCTATCCAATTTTCTCAACACCATTTATTGAAGAAACTGTCTTTACCCCATCGTGTGCTACCTCCTTTTAATACGCTAATAGTGTACCAACCTTGCATCCCTGGAATAAATCCCACTTGATCACATATCTTTTTAATGTATTGCTGGATCCAGTTTGCTAATATTTTGTTAGTTGTAATTGGTCTATTCAAGTTTTCTGATTCTTTCTGATTCAGTTTTAGAAGATTGTATGTTTCTAGAAATCTGTCCATTTCACCCAGATTGTCCAATTTGTTGGCATATAGTTATTCATAGTATTTTCTTACAATTCTTTGTATTTCTGTGATATCAGTTGTTATTTACTGATTTTATTTATTTTGGTCCTCTTTCTTTTTTCCTTGATGAGTCTGATTAAAGGCTCATCGATCTCATTTATCTTTTCAAAGAACCAGCTCTTGGTTTCATTGATCTTTAGTATTGTTTTTTCAGTTGCTATGTCATTTATTTCTGCTCTAATCTTTATTATTTTCTTCCTTCTACTTACTGTGGGCTTTGTTTTTTGTTCTTTTTCTAGTTCTTTTAAATGTATGGTTAGACTATTTACTTGACATTTTTCTTGCTTATTCAAGTAGAGGCATGTAATGCTAAGAACTTTCTTCTCAAGACTACTTTTGTTGTGTCACATGGATTTTGAGTTGTTGCATGTTCACTTTCATTTGTTTCCAGTAGTTTTTTGTTTTGTTTTGTTTTGTTTTTTGTTTTTTTTTTATCCTCACCCGAGGATATTTTTCCATTTTTTGTACAGATAGAGTGGGAGGGAGAGAGAGGAAGGGAGAGAGAGTGAGAAACATCGACGTGAAGGGACACATCGAGTGGCTGCCACCCGCACGACCAACCAGGGCCGGGGACAAACTGCAACCGAAGTACGTGCCCTTAGCGGGAACCGAACCCGGGTCTCTCCGGACCGCAGGCCGACGCTCTAACCGCTGAGCCAAACTGGCCAGGGCTGTTTCCAGTAGTTTTTAATTTCTTCCTTGATCTTATTATTATCTCATTCATTTTTTATGACATGCTAATTAGCCTCCATGTGTTTGCATATTTTTGAGGTTTTTTTATTATTATTGTTGAGTTCTAGTTTAATGCCATTGTGATCTGAGAGGATTCTTGACATGATTTCAATCTTCTTGAATTTGTGTCCTAACATGTGGTAAATCTTTGAGGATGTTCCATATGCACTTAAGAAGAGTGTATATTCTGCCCTGGCCAGTTTGGCTCAGCGGTTAGAGCGTCGGCCTGTGGTCCGGAGAGACCCGGGTTCGGTTCCCGCTAAGGGCATGTACTTCGTTTGTCCCCGGCCCTGGTTGGTCGTGCGGATGGCAGCCACTCGATGTGCCCCTTTCACGTCGATGTTTCTCTCTCTCTCTCTCCCTTCCTCTCTCTCCCTCCCGCTCTATCTGTACAAAAAATGGAAAAATATCCTCGGGTGAGGATAAAAAAAAAAAAAAAAAGAAGAGTGTATATTCTGCTGCCTTGATTTAAATGTTCTGTAAATATTAATTAAATCTATCAGTCTAGTGTGTTGTTGAAGGTCACTGTTTCCTTGTTGATATTTTTGTCGGGAATATCTATTCATTGATGACAGTGGAGTGTTAAAATTTCCTACTATGGCCCTGGCTGTTTTGGCTCAGTGGCTAGAGTGTCAGCCTGTGGTCCAGAGAGAGACCCGGATTCACTTCCCGCTAAGGGCGCATACCTCGGTTGCAGTTTGTCCCCGGCCCTGGTTGGGTTGTGTGGGTGGCAACCACTCGATGTGTCTCTTTCACATGGATGTTTCTCTCTCTCTCTCTCTTCCTCCCACTCTATTTGAACAAAAAATGAAAAAATGTCCTCTGGTGAGGATAAAAAAAAAAATTCCCTACTATGACTGTATTACTGTTGTCTCCCTTAAAACTCCACCAAGATTTTCTTTATATATTTAGGTGCTCCTAGATTGGGTACATATATGTTTACAATGGTTATATCCTCTTATTGGATCAATCCTTTAAGAATTATGTAGTGACTTTCTTTGTCTCTTGTTATGGCCTTTGTTTTTGAAGACTATTTTGTCAGATATAAGTGTTGTATGCCAGTTTTTTTTCTTCTTCTTCTTCTTCTTTTCCATTTGCATAAAATATTTCTTTTTCATCTCTTCACTTTTAGCCTGTGTGGATTTTTTGTCCTGAGGTTTGTCTCTTGTAGACAGCATATATATGGATCATATTTTCTTATCCATTCAACTACCCTATATCTTTTGATTGGAGCATATAATCCATTTACATTTAGGATTATTATTGATAGTACTTATGAGTTACCATTTTTCTTTATAACTGTGTTCCTCTGTATATATACTTCTTCTTCATCTTTAACATTTCTTGCAATACTGGTTTAGTGTAATATAAACTCCTTTAGCCATTTTATTTTGGTCTGGGAAACTCTTTTTCAGCCTTCAATTTTAGATAATAGCCTCACTAGATCGAGGAGTCTTGTTTGCAGGTCCTTGCTTTTCATCGCTTTGTATACTTGATGCCAATCCTTTCTGGCCTGAAGTGCTTCTGTTGAGAAATCAGCTGACAACCTTATGATAACTCCCTTGTAAGTAACTAACTACCTTTAAAATTCTCTCTTTATCTTTAATTTTTGCCATTGTAACTATGATGTGTCTTCGTGTGGGTCTCTCTGGATTTCTCTTCAATGGCACTCTCAGTGATTCCTGAACTTGTGTAACTTTATCCTTCACCAGGTTAGGGAATTTTCTGCCATTATTTCTTCAAACATGTTCTCTATCCCTTGCTTTCTCTCTTCTTCTGGTATCCTTATGATGCAGATGGTGTTATACTTGATGTTGTCCCAGAGGTTTCTTAGACTATCCTCACTTCTTTTAATTCTCTTTTTTGTTGTTGTTGCTTACTGTTATATCATCCTCTAATTTGCTGATTCAATCTTCTACTTCATTTAACCTGGTCTTGATTCTGTCTGGTGTCATCTTTATTTCAAGTATTGTAGTCTTCATTTTGGACTGGTTCTTTTTATGGTTTCTATGTCCTTTTTAATGCTTACTATCTTTTTAATTACAACATTGTGTGCAACCAGCCTTGGGCTGCCTATCTGTAGCTACCATGCTGTTCACTGTTTGTGTCTGCATCTACTGAACCTGAGTGTGTGTGGGATGGTCCAATCTGTGTAAAAGTGTTGGCTTCCTAGTTTTACAGAACTAGGGATAGATCTGTAAAAAGATGAGAACTCCTTGAGGTCTGTCTCTACCTGTCAGCTACTCCACCTTCCCCTGAGGTTGCTTCCTCTTCTTCTAGAGCCTTCCAAAAAAAGATTGTAGTATGAGCCCAGGCTAGCTGTGATCTACATTCCCTTGCACTGGTTGTGAGCTCAGTAGGGTGGGGCAACTGAGGTCAGGAGGATAGGGAGAGTGGGTCCCCTACTTGGGGATCATGCAATCTGGCATTCAATGAGAAGAAAATGGCCCCTGCTTCCAAGCCAATCCCCTCAGTCACTGCCAGAGTATCCACTCTAGTTCCCCCTAGGGGAGCTCCCTGCAAGTTCAGATTGGGTGCAGTAGGCCATCCCCTATGCAAGAGGAGCTCAGCCATCCTGGGTTCAGATGGGTAGATCGAAAGAGTCTCTCACTGGGGATAATGCCTGCCCAGCCCACAAGAGGAGGATAATCACCCCATCCCAGTCCCAGACAATAGCCTCCAAGGATTTCATACTTTGAATGTGTCTGCTCTGAGCTCCTCTACCTTTCCTCCATGAAATTGCATCCAGTGGAGGTATCTGGGACTTGGCAGGGCTGATCCAAACAGTCTCCCATGGGGGGTAGTACCTGCTAATTTATAGAAGGGGGGCAAGTACTTCCTTCCCTCTTTGGGGTAGTGCAGGCTGAACTCACAGGGGAGATTGGATTTGCCTTCCCACAGTGCAGGCACACAGCCCAGCACTTGCCCTTCTGACTCCTGTAGAGTAACCTCCTAGCAGACACAGTCCAAAAATCCCAGCTCTGCATGACTCCCCAGTTGCCCCACAATGCTGAACCAAGAAGGATGGGGCCAAAGTCCCAGCCCTGTGTGGCACTTTGATCTCTCAGGAAGCTGGTCTCAGCAGGACAAGGCCAAAAGTCCCACCGTAGCATAGTTCCCCCATGCTGCTGTAGCCAGCAGGACAGGGCAAGCCAAGTGGCTCAACAGATAGAATGAGGGAAGCCAGCTGGGTGCTTGAAGGTGAGGAGACTGGCCCTTTTCCCCAAACAACACATTGTAGTCACTCTCTGGATCTCCACCAGAAGCCTCCCCAGAAAAAAAGGGCCCCTTTAAGTCACTGCTCAGTGTAGCCAACAGACCCTTCCATAGTACCTGAGTACGGCAATGTGGCCTTGCTAGCAGTTGGAGTATGGTCGTGAACTCTCCAGGCTGTCACTGTAACAAAAGGAGTGCTCTTCCCTGGGAAAGTGTGGTCTAAGTCTCTCAGACTGAATCCCCACTGATTTTCAGTCAGGTGCCACACGGGCTCCTCTTCCCATCTCTGTTGCTCTGGGTTGGGGATCCATGCATGGGGTTGAGACCCCACATTTCTGGGGGAAGGGAGTTTTACAGCCATTATATTTCTGGCTTCTCAGCCGCAGCTGCACCTGAGTGCAGTAGCTGTCCCTTTCTGCTCCTCCGCCCTTCTTACCTGTATTTATGTGGCTCTTTCTGTAATTCTTGGCTATAGTATTTTAGATCAGCTAGCCTTTAGTGGGTTGTTCAGGTTGATTGCTTTGTAACATAGCTGTGGATCTAGTTTGCAGCTCTCACTTACTCAGCAGGCATCTTGGAATCTCCTTCTTCTTACCAAAATTTTTCTATACTAAGGTATCCAGTAAAAAGATAAAAGAAAAAGACTTCCCATGTTGTCTGCCATTGTGATGGCAGACATTGTGTTGTATAAACAAAGCCTCATAAATTCTAAGTTTGGAATTTTTAAAACTTACACAAAAATAAAATAAAATAGAACAAAATTTGATTTGGGACAAAAACAGGCTTTTCTGTTGCTTGAATTATCATGTGAGATTACTTACGCTTTTTTCCCTCGTGTATAAGAATATGACCTTTTGAAATCTAAATGCATTTAGGATCTCTATCACCTTATTTGATGAAAGGATATAATTTCTGTTAAGTTGGGGGTACTTTGCCCTTCAGAAGTTAGGGAAAGTCCTGAGCCAACCCCTTGTCAATACTACTAGCCTTTCCAGAAAAACTATAGTATGTAATTTTTCATATAGATCCTAACAAGTTTATCTCTAGCCTCACTGCACTTTTCACTTTCAAAGAAATTAATCAAGGCTTCATGCTCACTTGACTGTCCAATTCTTGCTTCCAATCTTGATTTCCCCAAAACTGACACTTCTACCAAAGATAACTTGGTAGCCTGCTAACCTGTTGCTAGCATGTCCCGTAGAAATGCCATTTCCTTTTTTACTGAGAATATTTTCCATCCAAACTGTGAGTTCTTCCCCCTCCTCTGGGTAATTCCCAAGAGTTAGGGATCAGCTACGGTATTCTCTATTCTACCTACAATCCACTGAAATTCTCACAGAGTTGGGTAGCCATTGCCTGGGCCTTTTTTTTTTTTTTTATAACCAACATTAGCAATATATTCAGCTATAATTATTGCTCTCTACCACACCCTTCTGCCTCTGATTTTCAATTTTTTTCATTGTGTTCTTGCCCATAGTTATATGAATCATATTACTGAAGGGCACTGAAAACTTTAAAAAATAAAACCCCTAGGCTCTTTAGAAACTGGGTTATAAATTGGCACAAACATGACCCAGGTACTATACTTAAAACCCACATCTCACTGAGAGTGTCCCATTTCATCCATGGTCTCACTTTGCCTATTAGTGATGCCTGGGAGAGGCATAATTTTAGAATGCTAAAGAGCCCTCTGGTTAGTATGGCGACATTATCTTCTCTTTTTAAAACTTTGTATTTTGCCCTGGCCAGTTTGCTCAGCAGTTAGAGCGTCGGCCTGAGGTCCAGAGAGACCCGGGTTCGGTTCCCGCTAAGGGCATGTACCTCGGTTGCGGTTTGTCCCCGGCCCTGGTTGGTCGTGCGGGTGGCAGCCACTCGATGTGTCTCTTTCATGTCGATGTTTCTCTCTCTCTCTCTTCCTCTCCCTCCCACTCTATCTGAACAAAAAATGGGGGAAAAATGTCCTCGAGTGAGGATAAAAAAAATGAAAAAAATAAAAATTTGTATTTTATTTTATTTCTCTCATCACCATTTATCTCCTCTATGCCTTCTTTCACCTTTTTAACCCCTCTCCTCCTCTTGCAATCACCACACTGTTGTCCATGTCCATAGGTTCTCTCTCTCTTTTTTTCTTTTTGCTTAATATTGGCAATGACTGTACCATTTTGGGACAACTAGGGAATTCTTTTACCAAATCCTTAAAAATAAATCATTCTTAACCATGAAAAATAATATTCTTTAAACATAAGTTTGGTTTTATTGACCAATAGACTTGCTACATAAAGGGTTTTTCCACATTATTCCTTGTGAAAAAGTAATGCTTGGTTTTCAGGTAAGTATGGATTCAAATTTTTCCTTTTGTAATTAACCTTTAACATTAACAGATTTAAATTACCCATAAACCTTAGTTTAGCCTAGACTCAGAAAAAATTTCTTAAAGCTACCTAGCTATAGAAAGTGTCTGCCAAATTAAATCTCTAAAATCATTTTTACTAAGTTTTCTCCTTCTGTGCTCTATTAGGGTATTCTGTTGAGTTTAACCTCATTTATAGCATCATTTATTCTATAATCTGTCATTATGCTCTTGAATGTAGTGTCAACCGCCAACATAGAATTCCAGCATTCCTGACTGGCCACTTTTTCCCTTGACTCTGCTTCATTCCAATGGGTATCTCTAGTCCCGGGTTTTGACCCCTCCCAAACTACTATATATTCTGGATCCCTTAGGAAATCCCTCCTCAAGAATGTCCCTGATATTTGTTAGAGATTGATAAACAGAGTAAGTAGGTGTGTTATAGATAGTAAAAGTGAGTGGGAGAGGTAAAATAATTTATATTAATGAAAAAATTGCATACAGAATTTCAGACATTAATTTCTTCTATTCTTTTCTAATTTTTAAATCAGGGATAAATTAAATGTTAATGATGAATTACATTTTATTTTTCTAGAAAGGAAACTATTTTGCCTTTCAACTATTAAGAAACTGTACTTTTAGAATATTTTCTTTAAAACTTGTATATATTTTAGCTTCGATGAATGAAATTTTCTTAAGAAATGGCTGAATTTATAGACCAGTCATATTGTGTAAATATATTCTATAATATTTCAAAAACTATTTTTTAGGTGTTTTATAACTGTAGTTGTGTGGAAGCAACTGGTCTCCAGAACAAAAGTAACTCAGTGAATTTGGGTACATGCCCGAGAAATGGTGATCACTGTATTAAAAAATTTTATATTTACATAGTAGTGCAAATCCTGAATTCTTTTACCACTTCATTGGGAGCAGCCCCAACTGTCATGCTGATTTTTAAGTGAGTATGACTTTTAAAAGCATTTTTATATATGTTAGGCTATAAACACATCTAATAATGTGCATATTCTTTCATAATATATTTGAAACCCAAATTTATGGTTTGTTACATTTTAATGTTCTAAGAATGCATTTTCTTAGGATTATTGTGATACTTCAATGTCATAATAATAATTTACCTCTGATTCTTACATTATAAAAACATAGATTCTATACTTGCTCCTCTTACTAAGAATATTAGTAATCATTGCCTCAATCTTTAAAAAATCCCTGTTGTGATTCTAAAAGAACTTTAAATTTTGAAATACCTTACATCTTGATAAGACTGTCAGAGTGAATTACCTATTAGTATTATGTAGTTCATGAATCCTATTAGCCAACTTTTCTGTTAGCAGCAATAACAGAAATAAGATGGTAGAAAGAGCTGTGCTGTGACCTAGACCTGGCCTGTGCTAACTAAATAGACCACACAGAATCAGTGTCTTCATATAGTCTGTTCCAACCGCTCTCTCATGGGATTTCATTAGAAGCCAATGTGAAAATGTTTGTGAAATGGTTCTGAAATTATAACTCACTAAAGGAATAAGAGAAAAAATAATTATTATTATTGTTCAGATGTTTTCCTTTTAAAACAACTGGAAATATAATTTTAAGTAAAGTCAGCTACTTACATGAGGGCTTCTATTTGACCATGAAGAACAATGACACAGAAATGTTTTAATATTAAACTCAGTTTGGCATTTTAAAGACATTTAATATATTTTTTTTTTGCCTTTATTTTATTTCAGAAATGTTCAACCTGAACTGAAATCACTTGCGATGGGTGTCTATGCATTCACTATACGAACACTAGGTACGATAAATAGACAGATTATAAATTCAAGATATAAAATTTCAGTCAAAGCTCAAAGACTGAACGTAATTCATTTCAAATTTTAAGAAAATAAAAAAGAGGTATGAGTAAAAGTTGTTTCTATTTTTGTGGTAACTGACAAATAATAAGAGACAGAGGAAAACTGTGTGAACTAAAAGAGAATTTGATTGTTAATTCTAGTTCAAGTCCATCTTTAACTAGAACAAGGGATCATCATATTTGTTTTACACTCTTTCTAACATAAAGATAGACGGCCTACAAAGTTGGGTTTTCTTCTTTTATTTTTGCTGTTTTACTTTCAGACTTAGAAATATTTCTCCTTATAGGCAAAGTGGAGGGCCTTCCCTTTACACTGAGGTGGGTAATGCCCCAGACAGCTCAGGGGTCAGGGAATCTGGTCAGGCTGAGACTGCACAGAACTGCAGAAGTTGGCTTTGGCTGCCTCCCCCATTGGCTAGTTCTCTAAGGAGGGGGCAGCTAACTTTTATCAGAAGTTAAAAATGCAAGAGGAGATGAAAACTAAAAGAATTGAACATTTGGAATAAGGGGGTGTTCTGAATGAAAGCTAAGAAAATTGCAGGTTTTGTTAAAGGGTAGGGCTGTAGATGCTCAGGGGCAAAGGCCTATCTCTAAATATTCCAGTGAAGTTGTTCCTTCCTCTTATTACCATTTACCATTTCCACCATACTGATTTCTGTTGTTAATTTAACAACTTCTAGCCTACCCGTGCATGCCTCTGTGTAAGACCTGTTAACATTATATGTTAATTCCTGGGAAGAAGGAAAGGGTATCATTCACCTAGGGATTGGGGTAGAAGACTGATCATGGCCTCGAGGCAACTGTTTATGGCAGAAGGAAAAGGAATTGAGAGGGGTCATTTCCTGGGACCCTTGCAAGCAAAAAGTCATAACTCTGTGGCCAAATTGCAATAGACAAGTTGTCCAGTAAAAAGTGTATTAAGGGAGAAGGCCACAGATCCTCAAAGGTAAAAAGAGGAAACCAAACAGGCCTGAGAGAGGAGAAGCTAAAGGTGCTGGAGGATCCCATTACAATTTCTTCCCAGATTCCTCTTCATGCTTCTCTAACCCATAGCTCTGTCCATCCCAGCAGTTCCCTGTCTCCAGATCCAGTGGAGATGCCTCCCTTCGAGCATTTAGGGCACAGAAGTTAGCAGATGAACATAGAATTTAGGAAGCCAGGGCTTTTTCTAATATGCTGAAATGAGATGGAGAATAAAAAATGTCCTCTGCTGATATAAAATAGAAAAAAAAAAAGAGGAATTTTGTCGTTCTAATTGTGAGATCCAATTTTGGGTTTATTTTGTTATTGTTTTTTGGGGATTTTAATTTTTTTCTTTATTAGTTTGAGAGAGAGGGGGAGAGAGAGAGAAGCATCAATTGGCCACCTCCTGCATGCCCCCACTAGGGATTGGGCCCACAACCTGGGCATGTGCCTTGACCAGGAATCGAACCAGTGACCTCTTGGTGCATGGGTCGATGCTCAACCACTGAGCCACACCAGATGGGCAGAACATTCTATTTGGATATGTCCAATATATGGCACAAGGGAGCCTATCTGCTTTTGTGGGGAAAATACATGCTGACTACCAAATTTTCAATTAAAAAACAATTGTCTTGAATACAATGTATGTGTAAATTTTGGAAGGTGTATAGAATATATTAAACTGAAAATGGCATTTGAAAAATAAGTTATTTGAAATTTAATAATTCCAATGATTATTTCAGACCAAGTTTGTTACCTGAAACTTTAATTTATTGTTTGGTCAAATAAGCATGTCCCTAAAATGTTGGTCAAATTACCAATGTTTAGAACTAAGAGTCAATATCAGATTTTATTAAAATAGCAGTAAAAGCAGGTTGGCACTTCTGCTATAAGACAATGCACATGTTCCTGAAAAGCTTCATATTCTGAAAAATCTTACACCACAAACAAGAATTAGGTTAGGCACACACCATTTGAGACATTCAGCTGTTCTGATCATCAATAGATACAAAATTCTGCACCACAGGCTCTGACTTGGACAGCCCAGGCTACTGTAGGAGGTATTAAAAATGCACATAATCAAAGGAGAAAAAAATGCATGATTGTGGTCTCTAGTGACACTATGAAGGTGGCAGTGAAACTCTGAGCCACCAGAGGACAACCTGCCAAGAGCCTAGCATTCTGTGAAGTCAGGCCTGTGCTTCTCTGGGAGGAAGTCCTAGTGTTGGCACTTACCTTTTAATTTTCTTTAAAATAAAGTTGAAAAATCTCCTGCTTTGGCAGCAGTTAATCTGAGAGCGTTTTCATTTTCCTGTGAAGCTATATCTATTCCCACTCTTCCAGCTCTCTTTGCCAAGAACCAAAAGAAAAAAATAAATAAAAAATGCATATAAGCCAATATAGCATTCATGTTTTATAAACAACATTTTCTTTTTACCCTTCAGGCTTAAGTTAAATGGCACTATCAGAAGAACAGAGTAAACAGGCATATAGTTCCTATGTGTAGTGGCAGGGTGAGGGTTGATAAAAGATGTCTGTGCGCCCTGGCCGGTTTGGCTCAGTGGTTGGAACGTCGGCCTGCGGTACAGAGAGACCCAGGTTCGGTTCCCGCTAAGGGCAAGTACCTCGGTTGCAGTTTGTCCCGGGCCCTGGTTGGTCATGCGGGTGGCAGCCACTCGATGTGTCCCTTCACATCGATGTTTCTCTCTCTCTTCCTCTCTCTCCCTCCTGCTCTATCTGATCAAAAAATGCAGAAATGTCCTCGGGTGAGGTTAAAAAAAAAAAAAATAGATGTCTGTGCTATTATATGTGGTTTCATATTTTGAGATTCCTTTTTTAAATTTTATTTTTTATTAAATTTATTGTGGTGACATTGGTTAATAAGATTATATAGGTTTCAGGTGTACATTTTTATGATACATGATCTCTATATTGCATTGTGTGTCCACCACCCAAAGTCAAATTTTCTTCTCTCACCATATATTTGACCCCCTTTACCCTTTGAGAGTCCCAGTAATCTTGATTTTGAATAGAATTAGGCCAAAACAATGGAAGAGTCCTCCAAAGTTTTTAACTTTCATTTAATCCAAAATATATCAGTATGGACTCTCATCCATTACATTGGAAAGGTGTTCCTTGGATTGAAATCTCATCTCATGTTGCAGGAGGAATGCTAGCTCCTATATATTTTGGGGCTCTGATTGATAGATCATGTATGAAGTGGTCCATCAACAGCAAAGGGAAGCAAGGTTCTTGTAGGATATATAATTCCGAAATGTTTGGGTAAGTTGTCATTAATATATTTTATTAATTTATTTTATATTAATTCTTAAAGGATGAAATATCATTGTCAGTAAAATAATAATTATTATAGCCGTCATTTAATGAACTATATCCAGTAGGGTATCTGGCAATCCAATATCTCATTTTAATACTCATAGAAATTGTAGAAGATAATTATTTTTCTCCTTTTTTTAAAATATGAAGAAAGTAACATTTAAAGAGAATGAGTACTATTCAAAAATCACACAGCTAATGACAAAAAAACCTGGATTTATGTTCAAATCCTTTTTGTTTCCAAAAATTTTTCTAATAATAAACAACAGCAACATCTATATTCATTGGCTTCTTGCTTTTCTTCGAAGATACAAAATGATCACCTGGGGCTCTAACTATAGGTTAATGGGGAACAAAAAGGAAAAAATTATTTTGATATTATTTTAATCATAAGAAAACAATGAGGTAGCCATCTAGGAAAAAAGGGTGACAATAATACCTTAATTGTAAATAATTAATTGCAGAGTAATCAAACACATAAGTTTAAAATTTGATTAATCAAATATATAAATTTAAAATTTGAAATGTCAATTTAAAATTAGAAGAAATTGTGATAGAAATTATTTTAATTATCTAGGAAGCAGAAACATGTTTCTAAGTGTGACCCAAACCCCCAAAACCATAGTCGAAAAAACATTTAACATTTTTAAAACTCTGTATCACAAACCTTATCTTAAGCAAAGTTCAAAGATAAAAAATAAACTGGAAAAAAGAATTTGTAACTTGCAGCACAGACACAAGGCAGATGTCCTAAACATATAAAGAGCTCTTAAAAACTTAAAATAAACAATACCGAATGCTAGCAATGATGCGGAACAACAGGAACTCTCTTTCATTACTGGGGGGGAGGCAAAATGGTACAGCCAGTTTGAAAAACAGTCAGACAGTTTCTTACAAAGCTAAACACAGGTTTATTGTATAATCAAGTAATTGTGCTCCTAATTATTTACCCAAAGGAGCTGAAAACATGTCCACACAAAAAGCTGTACTTACATATTTACAACAGCTTTATTCGTAATAGCCAAAATATGGAAGCAACAAACATGGCCCTCAGTAGGTAAATAAATAAACTGTGGTACATTTATACAACAGAAATTATTCAATGATAAAAATAAGTGAGCTATCAAGGTAAAAAAAAAAAAAAAAGGCAAGGCAGTAACTTAAATGCACATTGCTAAGTGAAAGAAGGCAGTCTGAGAAAGCTATGACATGATGATTCCAACGGTATGATCTTTCCTAAAGCTTGCAGCATTCCAGCCAGCTGAAAATAGCTCCCTCTCTTTATAATTCAATGCACTTTGGAGCTCACTCACAGCGCCTGTCACTTTTCCTCTGGTCAGTTGTGTCCATTGCCTAAAGTACTACTTTGCAAAGTAATTGCATAAAGATGGCTTAACATGAAATTTTTTAAAAGAGCAGTGTGTTCACCAATGAATACACACACAAAAAAGTTAAACTATCATCTTGTGATGTTTAGGATTTATTATTTTGAGGTAACCAGATAATTGTCCATTGATTTTATCTAGCATAGACAAATAGTATCAACAATTCCTAAAGCAAGGAATAGAAATCTATATTGATATCAATCCTAAATTTAAACACAAGTTATTCAAATTTTCTCAACAACAATCACATAATAAGTAACCCATATTAATTTTTCTTGATAGCAGTGGAATTTTTGGAAAGTTTAACATTAGTGTATTACTACTTGACATAACCCAGGTATGAACCAAATATATGTGAAGACTTTTAAAATATTTCTTTCATTGTATTTGGTACACCACAAAAATCCTACTGACATTTTAATAAACTTATGTTTAAACAGGTCAAAATTATATGATTAATGCCATTCACCTTCAATCAAACCTAATAATTATTAAAATATTTTTTGCATATAGCTTGTCAACATTAAGTTAACACTGTCATAAGACCAGTGAATGTTTCCTAACCTACTAGGTCAGTGGTCATCAATCTTTCCTGCTCATTATAATCAGCTGAGAAGCTTTAAAAAATACTAATTTCTGTGTCCCACCTATAGAGATTTTTATTTAATTGGTCAAGGGGTGTGGTTTGAACATGGGAGTTTTTAGATATCTTCAGGTGATTTTAATGTACAACCACAGTTGAGCACCCCAGAAACAGACCTTGCATGATAGGTCATTTCATGGAGCTTTGTTAAATACTTCCAGGAGGCCACACTGCAGGGCATTTTAGACTGCATTTTGCCGATAAACTAAATGCTGGCTCCTGATTCAATCTAAATGGTTTCAATTTTATTATCTCACAGTCAATTCATTCCCTTTATAATCTGTTACATTCTACATAAACTAATCTGTGTTTGAGAAAGTTAACGCATTCCAAATATACCTTACTTTATAGAAAGCACTTGGGTAGATCATTAACCATCCTTAAATTCTGTGGCTTAATATTCCCTTTAAAATAATTAAAAATCCTTTGTACCCCAATAAAAAGAATCACTAGAATTGTTGCCTTAATACTTTCATGTATAATTTCAAACATCATATGTTTGTTTTCTTCTTTTAAGTTCTTCTGCATACTGGAGAGAAGCATTGTAAATTGTTTCACACAGTTTAAAATAAAAATTGACTTTCTTTCTCTTTTTACAGAAAGACCTTCTTGGGCTTAATTGAGAGCTTAAGATTCTCAACAATTATTTTGTGTATTGTATTTATTTATGCTATGAAAAGAAAATATACCAAGCCATCAGAAATTAGAAGAAAATCTGTGAATGAAGCAAACTTAGAATTCTCAAATAATGATGGTTGTTTTGCACCTTCTGCTAGAGGAGACTGTGAAACACACATGTAAGGGCAAAAATAAAGTCTTTTGTTGCTGGGTTTCCAACCAACATTGTATTCATTTAATAGGATGTTATTTTTGTGTCTTTTCTGATTCTTTTACTGACTATTCCCACACTCTTTACATATGATGGGACAATGAATTACTTATTAATTTATAATAATGAAACAGACTATAAATAAAAATGAATGTAAGTACGCATCATTATATGACTATGCATATGTGGTTAAGATTAGAATATATGCTCCATACAAATTTAAAGTGAGAGTAGTATGTAACAGAAGAAAAAGTATTTGCTCAGGTAACATAACTCATTAAAACAAATGGCTAGAAAATCAGTGATGGTAAAAAGATGAGGAGAGAAATTTATAACCTAAATAAGGAGAGAAGCCTTAATACCTTTAAAAAAAAAAAAAGTATGGATCATGTTACACAAGCCTGAAGTCTAGTGTAACTGAGGATTTATGCTATTATGGCATCTGTCATTTATGTATCTTTCACAGACCTTATTTATAATTTAAAATTAAATTTGTCTAGCAACCCCTGCTGCATCTTCTTCCAACCTCCCATTAAAATACTGCTGAAGAAATACTGCTGAAGAAATAAAGATAGACAAAAATTTATGAGTTATGGTTGTCAGATAACATATTACAGAACGTGGTGTTTCTTTTGGGCTCATGAAAATAAATTAAAAGAACTGATATTAACTTGAAAAAGCAAAGCCCATTTAATAGATGTGTCTTCATTTTGTCTGTCTGCTCTCTGCACCAGATAATTTATGAGCTGTTTCTCAATTGCATAGTGGTTTTGTGTGTGTGTGTGTGTGTGTGTGTGTGTGTGTGTGTTTCTTTGTTATAAATTAGTATTTATAAATGTGATATGTACAATGAGGAAAAGGAACATTAAAACATATGCCTCAAATTATTTGATCTACTTCAGAATCCAAGAATCCAGAATAAATATTAATCTTTAATTCAATGGCATTTATTAAACATGAATACAAATCTTAGGGGGAAAATGAGAAAAATTCAACATACATGAATAAGACTAGGAAAACTTGCAAGGAATCAAAATAATGCAAGAGTGTAATTGAAATATATATTGGATAAGGTTAAAAGAAGACAATGACCAAACAAACAAGTCAATGATGAACTTACATTTGAACATCTGTGAAAAATATGGAAGAAAAATAAAGAAGCAAATAGCGAAAGAAGGTAGGTGGTTCAGAGGATGAGCTAAATCACCAATCTAAGATCTGATGCTTTTGAGGAAGAAACCAAACCTGTACATGAAACATTAATCAAAGATTTAGTGGAAGAATACCTTCCTGCTAGAAGAAAGACTTGAGTGTACAGACTGAAGTCTCCACAGTCCCATCTGTGTCCATGCAAATGGGCCTTTGACCATGATGTTTCTTCCTCCTGGGACACTCTTTTTCCACTTAACTGCCTCTCAGCATTGAGATCTAAACTTAGTCATATTTCTCTGACTTCTTTACTACTTAAAAATCTCCCATTATATTTGTAGCAACTTAGCACTTATCAAAATGGTAATTTTACATTTATTTAAGAATATCTAATAAAAATCTGTCTCCTGTATTAGTCATAAACTCTAGGAAAACAGGAAATGAGCTCATTTTACCTATCTATTTTATTTCCAGCATCTAGCTTGGTGCCTGATACATTGTCGGTGCCTTATCAATTATTTTTGAATGAGTGAATGAATGATTGAAGTTCAAAAACGTCAGTCATTTTAAATCTGAATGTTATAAATAAGAACTGAAAATAAGGTGCAACAATAAAAATAGTTGCATTAAGACCCTTGGATTTCAGAGGTTTTGAAGATTTTCTCTAGTATTTTTAAACAAATAAAAATAAAATTATAAATGTCAAAAAGTATCTTTTGACTGCCATCCCCTGACTAAACATAGGAGATAAAGACATTTAAGAAACAGAAACTCTTCTCTTTGGGAGCCCATAGATGGGGTGGAGTAATAGGCATATAAACATATGATACTACATACTATAATAAATACTATAATGGAATATAAAATGTTCATGTCTCTCATTCACAGGGACCACACTAATCTCTTTATTTCAATGTCAATGTATGTACTTCTGGAGAGTTTACCAAAACAAAATGATTAAGAATTCATCATTACAAATTTGGCAGTGGCCACTGTCCCTTTCATCTTGTGTGCCTTCTATCCTTCCTAAAATAGACTGTGCTTACCACCTGGACCCAAGGACCAACCTGATGAGAAGATGATTACAGAACAATCAGTATCATTTCAGCAACACCACAGAGCATTTCTGACTATTAACCCACAGACTCACCTCTCACCCCCAACCAACCTTCACTGATAGACTGGATATTGCCCCAAGTTCCAACATTGGAAGGTTATCCCTTTAAGACCTTGCCTTTATTTAAATTGGAAGAGGTCATATATGATCAAGCATGTCTCAGTGTAAGATTCCAATAGTGTTTAAGAAGTAGATGTTTTATAGGAGTAGACAAGGAGGACGGGAAGATATTTGGAGAGCAAGAGAAAAGTTCACAGAAAACTGAGGTTATTAACACCAAAAATATTTTTTTATTCATCATTTTATTTAGGCCTGATCTTCCAATAATGATTCTATACATTTAGACCTTCTGCAAAAAAATGAGATTTTTTTTTTAAGCCACAGTTATTCAAAGGTGTTTATTTGTTTAATAATTCTGTCTAATGATCTGTTTCATGAGTTTGGTTCTGATGACTGTCTATTCAGATTGTGTTTTTTATTGCCTTTTTATGTCTCATAATTTTTTATTGAAGATCATAAATGGAGTATAGGACGGTCGATACTGAGGTAAATATTTTTTATACGTGAAAAGGAGCACATCTTTCCTTCTGCTAGGCCGGTAGTGTGGGGACTTGTGTCAGGAGCAGGGCTGGGTTTGGAGTTTGTTGTTGCTATGGTTATCCTCTGTGCACCAAGGGCTCTGAATTCCTCTGGGGAGACCTTGTATTTAGGGTCTACTTCCTTTGTGGATTTGATCTTCCTTTTGTACTCTTACCCAGAAACAACTCTCTTGCAGCTCTCCAAACTATACTCCATTCTTATATTCTCTAGAGGCTGGTTACCATGGTGGGAAGAGGGGTTGGGGGAGGGGGACTGACTGACTAACATATTAGGTGACCTCTGCTCCAGTAAGTAAGTGTTCAAATCCCTGATGCTCCCTGCCGGGACCTGTCTCTCTCCAAATTTCCAATTAGTTGTTTGCCCAATAATCTTGGTTCACTGATGGGTTTGAGAAAAGTTGTAATTTGCATTTTATCCAGCTTTTTCTTATTATATAGGTGTGGGTGCAACATTGTTTTCTACTCTCCGCATGTCTGAGCAGAAACTAGAAATCTCACTTTTACTCCTTTGATGTAAAGATAAAAGTATTTCAATTAACTTTATGAATTTTTAAGACCTATTTGAATTATTTTTGACTACCTCTCTTCCTTTCTGTCACCTGATCCTAGTCAACAGATTCTCCAGTAACCAGTAAATTATCTATTTGGTAAAAAATTCTTAGCATATTTATCATTCTGAAATATATCTTTTCTAAAACCACTCATTCCATAGGTTCAAGTCATCAGGCAAGAAAGTTTTTATTTTGTATCTATCTTCTCAGCTGATTTATTTTTTAAGACTGGAAGTTTTTTAAAAAAATAGTAGGTCTTGCTCTGGCCCGTATGGGTAACTAGTTAGAGTATCTGCCTCAAGGGTCATGGGTTCGATTTTCTGTCAAGGGTATGCACCTGGGTTGCAAGTTCCATCCTGGCCCCCTGTCAGGTTGCATGGGAGGGACAACCAATCAACCTGTCTCTTTCACATTGATGTTTCCCTCTCGTGCTCTCTCTCTCTCTCTGCCCCCCTCCCTCCCTCTCTCCCTTCCACTCTTTCTAAAGAAATAAAATAAAATAAAATATATCCTTGGGTGAGAATTAACAATAACAACAACAAAAAATCAGTAGGTTTATTTTGTTAACTCTGGGATTTTTTTCCCAAAGATTTTTTAAAATATGTTTTTATTGATTTTAGAGGGGAAAAAAGGGAGAGGAAGAAAGAGAAATATCCATTGGCTGCCTTCTGCAGGCCCCACACCCACCCCACTAGTGATCCAGTCTGCAACCCTGGCATGTGCCCTGACTGGGAATTGAACCCATGACCTCTTTGTGCATGGGACAATGCTCAACCAACTGAGCCACACCAGCCAGGACATCACCCAAGGATGTAACCCTAGCACCTGTGCATAAAGAGTTCTAGTGATGTTCTCTTAGCAACATTTCTTACACTCTTATGATCTTTTAATCAATATGAAGTCCTAAACAGCTGATAAAGAAAATAACAAAGAATGCCATTAAGAAGGAAGGTGGCATCCATGATCCCACTTATACTAAGCAATATTTTTCTACCGCACCTACCACCCTCAACACAATAAAATGTTTCATGTTTCCTCTGTTGTTCACTGATATATAGCAAACTCTTGAGTCAATGCTACAGGGATCAGGTATATCCACGGGTGTTCAATAAAATTTGTTGAAAAATTTGTATTTTAAATTTAGTATAAATACATTTAGTAAAAAAAATAATAATAACAATAATAATAATAAAGGCTGAAGAAAAGGTATGATCTTACAAACACATCTCATATTTGGAATGACTACAAGAACATTTCCAACGTGGCAAACTTGTTAGAAGTTATTAGGTATATACTATGCTAGGTCTGAAAGTGATTTTTATTGCAGGTTTTAAGGAAACAAACAGGATTATGAAAATAGTGCAGTTTTCCACCTCATATTAAATCCACTTAAATATCTTTTCCCCCATATAAGCCATTCTAAGGAATTTAGCACGGTATGTCTTTACTGGTAGGAAAAATATATGAAAAACTACATTTGATTGTGTGCATTACCCTTGTATACAGTGAGCTTTGTTACAATTTACTAATTAATTATGGTAGTTCATCAATAGTAA